CAAGTAGAAAGCAAATGTTTTGAGAATGATGATGGCAACAAATGTACAAATGTGCTTGACACAATGGATGGATGTATGGATTGTGATGAGAGTTGGACGAGCCGCCAATAAAATGATTTTTAAAAAGAAAAGAAAATAGAAGATCTTTCAACAGAAAACTTGCAGTAAGCTGATTGCTTCTAGTCTTTAAAAATCTCCTGCCTTTCAGTTCTGGCTAGACCAAAGCATGTACACTGGTACAGATAAGAACTTGCAACATATGGAATCAAGGTCAGATAAACTCCTCACGAACAAAAATGGGAGTACTGATACCAGGAGGGCAAGGGGATAGTAGGGGGAGGAGGGGAGGAAGAGGGAACTGATCAACATGATTGCCCCATAACTCCCCCACCCCCCAGGTGGACGAACAACAGAAACATGGGTGAAGGGAGACAGCGGTGATTGTACTATATAACAACAATACTAATTTATCATTTATCAAGGGGTAACGAGGGTTGGAGGTGGAAAAGGGAGGGAAGAAAGAGGAGTTGATACAAAGGGCTCAAATAGAAAGTAAATGTTTAGAAAGTGATGATGGCAACGTATGTACAAATATGCTTGATACAACTGATGTATGGAATGTTATAAGAGTTGTAAGCGCCCCAATAAAGGGATTAAAAAAAAAAGATCTTCTCAATTCAATGAACCTAAATTATAGTCAAGGAACCCTGGTGGCCGTTGGGCTAGGTTTTCCTTAGGGTTAAATACTTAAGTTTAAGTAGTTACTGTTTTTAAAAAATTAGTTTTTAATAATTAGTCTGCTGGATATGATTGAACTATGGAATGACTTGATATATATATATATATATATGTATGTATGTAATGAAAATGTTTTTTAAATTAATTGGGATTTATGGGGAAAAATATATAAATCCCAATTAATTTAAAAAACATTTTCATTACAGAGGATGTTATTTTCAGGTTGGTTTTAATATTTTAACTTAAAATGTAGATACATTCTAGATTATCCTGTTTGAGAAGAATATTTAAGTAAATTTAGTACTAGTTTTCTATAAGTGCTTTAAGGAGACTTGGTGGCATACCTACTGGATTTCATTTTGGGCTGCTAATCACAAAGGTAGCAGTTCAAACCTACCAGATGCTTCACTGAAGAAAAATGAGGCTTTCTGCTTCCATAAAAATGTACATCCTCAGAAACCTAAAGGGGCCGTTCTACTCTGTCCTATAGGGTGGTTCTGAGTCAGAATTCACCCGATGTCAGTAAGTTTGGGTTGGTAAATTGCTCTGAGTGCTTTGTTTTCTTTTTATATTTTAAACAAGGAAAACATTTTTATCTCTACGTAGTATTTTGGACTAATTACAAAAAGTTGTTAAGGGCAACCCACTGCCACCAAGTTGATTCCAACTCATAGTGAGCCTATAGAACAGGGTGGAAGGACTACTTAGGGTCTCTGAGGCTGTTACTCTTTTAAGACAGACAGCCTCATTTCTGTGCCATCGAGCAGCTGGTCGGTTTGAATCACAGACCTTGTAGTTAGCAACCCAGTGTTGTAGTTAGTAGCTACTCTGCCAAGAGTTCTCTTAGCTACAAAGTACTCAGAAAAAGCAAATGTATTATCTGTGACTGCTCATGATGATGTTGCTTCATTATTTCTCTAAAATATTTTAAATTCACTGTGCTCTGAAACTTGTAAGTTTATTATAACTTAATATACAAGCTTGCAGTGGCTACCGGAAACTTTCTTTTGGTGGTTCTGTTAGATCTCTCTGTAGCTAGATATACCTCGGCCCTTGGCTCCACGCGAGAAAGAATTCACGCCGAAGCCTGGCTCGTGATCCAAGTGAGTTTTATGAAAGTTAGAAGTTTCAGGTTTACACGGCACCGTGGAGCTCCTTCCGAACATGCGGCCTGGTTGGAAGCCGCTCCGCGTCACGCAAAAGTGTCCCAAAGCCCTGCCAAAGCTCTCTGCACCAAAGTTCTGTCCCCCTCCTCTACTTGGACTTCTGCCTTTTCAAGGATTCCACGGGGAGGCATGGTGGAAGACCCCTGATCAACCCCATTGGCTGAATTGAATTCACCTGGCCTACCCCTGCCTACCAACGGGAATCCAAGCCTCTGGGCATGTGCAGTGCGCCCCTCCTTTGTTCCCCTAGCTTGGCCCTCTGGGCACGCGTTAACGGACATTCCCAACTCTAGCTAACCTACTTAACAGTTGCATTTTCTTTCTCCCCTCAGAGTCAGCTTAGCCAATGCAATAATGCCCTGGAGAATTCTGAAGAGCTGCTGGAATTCGCGACCCGGTCCCTAGAGATAAAGGAACCGGAAGAATTTTCAAAGGTACAAACCCAAACTGAAAAGACTAGACAGAGAGCCTAGTACTAAATGACAAAATACAAAGTGTGGTGCGTGCCCCTTTTATTTTCATTATTTGATTCTTAGAATGTGTGTCTTAGGGCCATTGACAAATTATTTCAGTGTAGAAGTTTTGCCTTACTACTTGATTCAGAGGAGTTAAACTATTTTCTATTTTAGTTACTTTCCTATTGGTAATTTTAGTGGTAGTTGTATACCTCAGCAAGCCATATTTTCATTTTAAACATTTTATGATATTGCTATTAGCATGGTTAAAAATCTAGATTTGTATGTCTTTCTAAGAGTCAGTTGGGAAAATCTATCATCAATTGATGCAAATGAGCTCTGACTTTGAAATTTGCTATTGGGATCAGATATATCTCCTTACTTGACTAATTGAACACTTTTTTAAAATTTAAAGACTAGAACAAGAAGTCTGCTAATGTTTTAACTGGCACCTGATGTTAAGAGATTCTGAAGTATAGATTCTCCTTTTAGTTTAAGTGGATCACTTCAAAATGATTACTAGTTTATTAAATAAAAATTCAAAGGGTGTAGAATATTTTGTGAAATTAGTATGAAATTAAGGTCTAAACCAAACCCAAACCAAACTCACTGCCTTGGCGTCCGTGCTGCCTCATAGCAGGCCTGTAGGACATGTTAGAGCTGCCCCGCAGGCTTCTGAGACTGTACCTGTTAACGGGACCAGAAAGCCCTGTCTGGTGTTTTTGAACTGCCATCCTGGAAGATCATAGCTCAGCCACTACTACCAGGTCTTATTAAGGTCTACCATTAGCAAAATATAGACGTAGTAGCTGTCATATCAGTGCCTTCCATCTTTGAGTTTGATGTTACTTGCTTGGTCTTAATGCACTATGAAGTGAGCTAAATTAAAGTTGCCTTTGTAATTCATTCGCATCTATCGAATGTTTTCATTTACCATGTGAAGTAGGGGAAAGAACCTTCTGTTTGGTAGCTTATATATTTTTATTTGGAAATTGAACTTCAACAATTTATTTTTTTGAAAAATTAATCAAAGCAAAAAGTCCTTTTACAAACCCCAATAAACTAATTCTTAAATTTGGAGGTGGATTATGAGAAAATTTGCCTTTTCTCCTGATAGATACAGAGATTATCAAGGAAATGTATCATAAAGTATTTTAAAAGTATGATGTATCACCCTCTCCAGAAAGTATTTATGTGATAATGTGAAATATCTGGAATATAGTCAATAAACATGCTATAAGCAAAAGATGTCTGAGTCGTCAGTCAGAGTTAATATCCTCCATTCATGATCTTTCTTTTTTTAAATTTACTTATTTTTCCACGATCTTTCTTAAAACCTGTTGACTCTTAGTCTGTGTATGTTGTTGTTAGGTCAGTCAGGTGAGTTCCGACCCACAGTGATGCACAACAGAATGAAGCACAGCGCACACCTGTGTCATCCGCACACTGGCCTTTGCTGAGACCATGGTTGCAGCCACCTGCCCATCTGTTTTGCTGAGGGCATTCGTCATAGTACTACGAAACTTTGGCAATTGTTTTGTTTTCTTTTCCCTCTATTCCCGAGTTGTCAATAGATTCCCCCTGCTAGGAGGGCAGTTAGGGTTACGCAGAATCATAGGAGCAAGAATGAACAGCTAACTGAGAGAGAGGAAGAAGATAGGTCAATTGTAAAGTGAAGTGAATTCAGTTGCACTAATATAAGGTCTGATAAAAGTTTTCCCAAGTTTTTTTAATATGCCATTTTCAACGACCTTTTCCTCCTCTTCCTATATGCTACCCTCCTTACTATTTCCTTTATCTTTCCAGTTTTGTTTCTGTTAAAATTCATGCCCAGTGACTGAAAATGGAAAAGGTTCTGTAAATTAAATTACTTAGGTGATGTCAATATATTTTCTTAATGTACCTCTTTGCTTCTTTCTTCTTGCTGTTCGGGTCTTGTCTTCTATCACTATGTTGCAGAACAGTGGTTGGAGATGTGGTGAGAGAAGTTCTTTTTCCAGCCAGTAATTTCAGTTTCTCCTTTAAAATTACTTAAATGAGAGCTGCGTGCAATTATTTTCTTACTATATCCAAATATACTGCCCAGATAATGGTTTGCTTTAGGGTAAAACAGGAAGCTCCCTTTTCTCGTCAACTGCATTGGACTTGCCTCAAACCCCAAGGTGCTGACAAAAGAGGGAGGGGTGACGTTGAAGATTACTTAGTGAACTAGCAGTATATTGCTGGAGATCTGGAAGAAGAAATTCTTATAAGGTTTACTATTCCATATATGAAATCAACTGTGCCTTTTTTTCACTAGAGGCTGATATGCTTGTCTAAAGAAGTGTCATTTTGAGACTCTTTTTCACCCTCTGTGACTAGGTCCCCTTTGTACTCCCAAGTTATTTCTTAATATATATGCATTTATGAAGTTTTATTGGCACTTCATCTGCCTAGATTCTGTAGTTTAGTCATATCAAAGAGAGTTGTATAATCATTATCACAATAAATTCTAGATAATTTTCTTCTTGTACTCATTGTTTTTAGAGTAATTGTTATTTTTAATTGTGGCTAAAATATACATAAAACATCCTCCAATTCAACAACTCCTACATGTATAATTAAGTGCCATTGATTATACTCTTCATGTTACCTTTTTCCAAATGATTCCATCACCATTAACGTAAATTCAGTGCCGCCTGGGCAAAAACTCCTCCTCCGTCACCCTTTTAATAGGTTTTAAGGGTTGACGTTTTAATGCTATATTATAAGCCTTTAAAAATTATTAATTGTTTTATTGGGGGCTCTTACAAATATTATAATAATCCATCATTCAATTTTATTAAGCACCCTTTTACATATGTTGCCATCAGCATTTCCAAAACATTTACTTTCTACTTGAGCTCTCGGTATCAGCTCCTTTGTTTTCCTCTCCCGCCCCCACCCTCCCGCCACTGTGAATCCTTGATCAATTATATATTATGATTGATATTTCATCTCTTACACTGTATTGCAAACTTTTTTAAAAGCACTAAGTATTCGCCCCTAAGTCAATTTTAGAGATTACCTTGAGATGATATCACAAAATGAACTGTGCCAAATCTGATAGGAAAATCTGACATAAAAACAATATTGAGCATTTGAATAAGACTTGAAGAGCTCTGTAGTGTTGTCTCACATTCAGATTTTTAACTGGAAACTCTACTGGACTCTACTGCAAATCAAGGTGAAAATAAGTCACGCACGTACTGTGTATGCCTCCTTCTGTTTACCAGGTTTAGCTTCACAGTCTTAGTATGTCTCTTCTAGCAATGATCAGTCCAGAACATGGTTATTCTTATTTTTGACCATGTGTACAGGGCTTTCTCGGGGGCCACTGTTACAGTTTGTGCTGGTTGGCAGTTCAAACCTACCAGCTGCTCCTGGGAAGAAAGACGAGAGTATCTCTTCCTGAAAAGACTTGTGGCCTCCGAAACCCTCTACAGGGCCGCGCCTAGTCAGAGTCAGCTTGCCGGCTGTGGGTTTGGGTGATCACAGCAAACTCTGCTTTCCGCTTCTTCCTGCATTTCAGCCTCTATTTGATATTTAGATGATTCCATGTATGTATTTATTAACACACCGAAGTGAAGTAAATCTAGTTAACATTTCTGAGTCAACAGACAAATTTTATAATTCAATTATCTACAGGTTAGGAGAATAATGATGGACTTTGAGAGCTCAAAGATGTTGGAACTCGGAGTCCTGAAAAAGTTATGCAAATATCTTAAACCGCACCATAATGCTCCTAATTTTTTGTTGATCAATTTCAAACTTTCTGATGATGGACAGCAGATTTAGAAATCTTATTTTGTTCTGTTTAGGCAGGTGAGTACAGTAAGCAAGGTCTTACATGTCCTTATTTTATCATTATTCCCATTTTAAATGTGTTTCAAAAGCTTGCCTATTCAATTCAGTTAGCTACTGCATTAAGAGAATTATTTCAGATTTACCTCTTTAATTTATCTACAGAAATAGTCAAACCAAAAAAACCAAACCTTTGCAGTCCAGTGAGCATAGAGGACAGAGGGTGACTACCACGTAGTTTCGAAGGCTTTGGTCTTTACAGAGGCAGACTGCCACATCTGTCTCGGGCTCGAACCGCCGGCCTTTTGCTTCGCAGACAGACCCTTAACCACCACATCACCAGACCTCCTTGTAAAAGCAGTAGTGCATAATCTTCAAAGTACTGGACACATTTACAGAAGAAACTAGTTTGTAATTTACATAGAGGATTTGGATTTTATTTCTTCATATTTAATTAGTAATTATTTGTGATTCTTCTTATTCTGTGTGCTCTTATGGTAGTTCTACTTTTAAAAGTTTGGTCTTAGGTGACCAATTGCTATGACCAATAAAATTAAAGGTCAGAATTGTAAGATTTGCTTTGGAGACAAGTATCTGAGCGATGAAGGGGGTGGGAGGAGAGAAGAGCAGCCTCTTGCAAATAAAGAGGAAGGAAGTGTGGTTGGGAAGCCAGATTTCAGTAGATCTAAATAGTTGTGCTGAGCAAAGGAATGCGACTGATGCTTCTTGGAGGCTTTCCAGTAACGAACAGAGCCATGACCCCAAACAGTCAAAGCGCCTACTAAGGCCTCTTCGGAACTCACTGTCGGGAATTATGTGTATGAAAAGAAATGCGTTAGAGATAGATCGTGGTAAATCCTGGGACCAGCTTGTACCTGTAAACAGAGATATTTTGAGAAAAACACCACTCTTGACATTGAAAGAAGAATGGAGCGCAGTTGTCACATGTATCTTTTGGACAGCTTTTGGCTTCTGGAAAAGAAATTCCAGGAAAAAGATGTAATAATCTATTTTGACTGAAGACATTTCTTGAACTTGGGCCTGGTACTGTCTACCCTTTTATCACGCAGGATAAGTTCTTAATCCTTTGTGCATTTATACAGTATACGAAGTAAAATGTTAATTTAGGTGAAAGAGAAGCTACAGGGTTTTCAGTTTGGCCAGTTGAATATGTTGCTTGTACATACTTCAATCACAACGGTTTTCGCTAGACTATCGGCTTTTAATTTATTGCTTGCATTGTTCAAACACAGGCTGAGTATGTGAAGCCCTACCATGTAAGCTTTGTGTGCAAGCACATACTCACGCAACACAAAATAAAAATGGCCACTTAGAGTTATTTAAAAAATAATAGTGATGTTTTATTGTTGGCTTATTTGAGGATGGCTGGTAAGTAATGCTAGCCAAGTTCTAAACCAGTGGAAAAATAAAAGAATGAAGCTGATAGGCTGCAATTGAAGAATAGGTCATATCAATGGATAACCCTCCTGCTACTGAACCATTGTACCCACCCAGGTACAGGCAGCACTAGGTTACCTCAGGTCTCTGTTTTAGTTAAACTGTGACATAGAAGGCAAAAGCATTCGGGATTTCTGAGCAAGTAAGCGACCAAGAGAACAGGCTGAACTGTTCCTCTCCCTTTTTGCTCTTCATGTGATCTCTTCAGGGAAATGAGTTAGAAAGAGGCCAAGCGGGTGCTAGTGGCATTTCTGCCAGGTGTAAGGACATCAGTAGCAGAGTCGATCCCCTCTCGCCGCAGCCCAAATCTTTGGTTTGTAAATCCAGCTGTAAGGAAAGTACGTGTAGTTTAAAAAAAATCATATCATTGGCCCTCTTCACATTTTTTATTCCTGTAACCACAGGAATAAGACCTGATTTAGGCCACAAATTCTAAATGCCACAGAGTTTAGTTGGCTTGTTATGGGAGGATGCTTCAAAAAGTTCGTGGAAAATGTCCCATGATCCCCCCCCCCCCCAAATTCAATAGCTCAGTCATTCAGTCATATCAAGGACAGTTGTACAATCATTACTACATCACTTTTAGAGCATCCCCCCTCTTCCATTATCTTTTAATTCCATTTTACCACTAATTTTCGAACCCTTCCCCCCTCCTAGAATATGGAACTGCAATTTTAGAAAGAATAAGTATCCAAATCTCTTAATAAAGAAGTAGAACAGTTAGTATCTGACTTCCGGACAAGTCCTCCTTGCCCTTTAATGTCATGTCAATTTTCCCTCACCTGGCAGGGTATAATAGAAGTTGACTGAACCAGCCCTTCAGCACAGACTTCATCACAGTCACCTTTACTGTGTCTAAGTCACTGAAAAGGCTTTGAGCCTTTTTGTAAACTAAAAAGGCCCTGCCATTGAGTCTACTTCAACGCATAACAAACCTATAGGACAGAGTAGAACTGCTCCCTGGCAAAGTCGAACGGCCTCATCTCTGCCCTCTGGAGCGGCCAGTGGATCCAAACTGCTGACCTAAAGTAAAGCTAAATATGAACAATATGCGCCTGCGCTGCCTCACCTACAGATTCCACTTAAAGATACAGTTAGGAAAGATCACATTCATAACCAGGTACTGATTGTACAAGGTCGCAGAATTGATTAGTGGTAGTGCCGGTCTTCAAATTCTCAGTGTGGTCTTTCACATAGAAAGTAGGTATAAAAATGACCAATAAAAAGTATGAATAATAATAATAATAGTGCTGAAGGAAAGAGGCAATAGGACATCAAATTTATGTTCAATTTAATCAAGTAGGTATTAGTATTGCATCATGATTGAGAGTCGGGGAAAAGAGGAAATCCCTCATCAAGATGGATTGACACAGCGGCTGCAACAGTGGTTTTGAACACAGCAACAATCGTGAGGATGGCATAAAACAAGGCAGTCTCTTGTGCCTAGCATCAGTGTGCGTCAGAACCAAGTCAATGGCAACTGACCACAAGTATTGATTCTGTGTGCTAAACAGTATGTTCGGGATAGAGTGTTGAGCAAAACAGTCATGACATACAACAGATGTATCACCAACTCCATTGGTGAGTGCAGGAAAATCTTTTATTTATACATATTATACAGGATCCTTCGTGGTATAGTGGATTATGCGTTGCACTGCAAACTACAAAATTAACAAAACAAACAAAAACCTAGCCACTCCTAAGGAGAAAGGTGGCACTTTCTACTCTCGTAAAGAGTTACAGACTCCGAAACCCACAGAGGCAGCCCTAGCCTGTCCTGTGCGGTCGTGATGAGCCAGAACTGACTCCATGGCAGTGAGTTATACTATATATAAGTATATGGGACAACGGTGGTTGTAAGGGTTTTACAGGAGGATACAGTACCAAGTCATAACTGTCTCCTTCCCAAACTTGTGATAGCACTCTCAAAAATAAAAAGGAGACATGTCTTTACGCACAGTGGTTTGAAGTAGCAGCTTATATAACGACATCAGCGGGCAAGTCCCTCGTGCGAAAAGTCTTTCTCAAGTCTCCTACTCTGAAGTTTTGCAGTTGTGTAGAGGATTATAGCACTGGAGCCTAGTTTTATATGTAATAAGACAAGCTCTCAAGAGTCCAAAGTCCTTATCCTGTGGAGGCATCTAAAGAAAACTTGGATCAACCAGTGTTTACCAACAGTAGTTGTGAAAGAGAACGCTAGGAAGAAACTGGAGACCAGATTTAAACTGTATAATTCAGGATACATGGAAATATGTGCCCCAAGAAGGAGGCTGCGTATTCTAGATGCGCGTCCAATTGAAGGGGAGAAAGTCAAGGTGTACTTTAATGATCTTAAGGTAAAAGAAAACATTTTCCGTCATCAAGAATTCATTTGTAGTGTGACATTTTCCTTCTTTCAAAGGTGACTTATGAAAAATAAATAATAAAAAAATAAAGGTGACTTATGCACAAGTCTGAGCTTTCGATAATTCTGACATCACATTATGCAAGTTTATGTGCACTATACACGTTTCTGTAATTTATATTTTGGTGAATATGAACTAATCTATTGCAGGGTTTATATCCTAACTTTCTTGCATGTCACTGCCATTGAAACTTGCATGAAAAGCACTAACTGCCTTCTTTCTCTTCTCCCTGACTTGCTCCAAGGCTGCCAGACAGATCAAGGATAGGTATGGTATAAAAACCTACATTTTTATTAAAAGTCTTGATATTGAAGTCAGAAATGAAATTCATAAGCAGTTTTTTTTATTAGAATCCTGTTGATTACAAAATACTTAGTTGCTAAGTACTAAAAACAATGTCCTCTGTATGTTTCCTTTGAATAATCAATATAGCAGCTTTATTTTTTTTAAAAACTTAGCTGTGGAAAAATGTGTACTTCCCAAAGAATTTCATTTCTGGTTTAATATAGTTAGTTGTAGCACAATTCTTAATTAGCTATACTAACAGTTGGGAACCGTTCTGAATAGTTTGAAATATGTTTATATTCTTGGAATGCATTTTTCCTTGCTTTTGATTTTAAATGCGAGTGTCTTATTTTCTGAGAAGTTGCAGCATTTTGAGTCCTCCTCAGGAGCCAAAGCTCCTTCCCGGCCCTCCTTAACACCTTTGCACACTAATTCCAGCCTGGTCCTGGTGCCAGCCCCTTCTCCTCTAATGCCACTGCTATATCGTTTCTACCAGCAGAAAATGAGAGAAAACGATGAAAGGTTTTAGCTTCAAAGATCTTCCCACTGATGGAGCCAGGATGAAGAAAGGGAATGGATTACTTGTTAACAAACACCCCAAAGGTCTACCGGAACTGTTGACGACATTTGGGATGAGTTTCAACAAAAGGGATCGTTTTGACATGCTCGGCGAGTCACTAAGAATTGACTGTGGTAGAATTGTCCCCGAAGGCTTCTTCATCTGCGGAGATGAGAGTCTCTAAACGGGGCAGCTCCTCCATGACTGCGCGGAATCATGGATAATTCAGGCATCAGCCAGTTCCCAAAATGATTCATTATGGATTGTGTGGAAACTAGGGTCTGTCGGAAATCTTAGCTGAAATTTGACTCTCATCTCCATTTCTCTCATGGTCTTTTATTTGACTAGAGGAGAAATTCACATGGTACTTTACACCATTCTCAGCACAAATATTAAGTAATTTTTGTATTTGTGTATATTATGTATATTATATACCAGAGAGTGGATTAGGATGGGTCGTTTCCTAAGTTCTGGCTGTAGAAGGTTTTGGAGAAGGGGAATTATGGAAAGTTTGCAGTGAACAGTCTATTGACTGTAAGGAACGGACGCTACATAGCTCGGTCTTTTTGCATGAGGTAGCTTGGGGGTCTGCCTGCTAGACTTCACCGTGTGTAATCCATCTCCTCTGGCTAGATTACACTGCCTGTTTTCACCCACCTCCTCTTGACTTCACTAATTTGAGTCTGGTCTCTGATTTTTCTGGTTGGGGAAGTCACTTCCTAACAGGATAACTTTGGGAGACTGCAGAAATCTTCCTCCTCTCTATGGATCTTTCTGGCTTTGTGCACCCCAATTCCTGTCTTCACCTGACGTCTTTCTTTGTATTCAGGCTTGTTTGTCAGGAGTTCATCTTATGGCCAGTCTTGATGGCTCAGTGTCTTCTTTCCTGAGCTTGTCTGTTTTTGCTTCTTGTCTCCAGTCAGCTTTTTGTCGTGATCTCATCAGTACTGAGCTAATCTCCTATTATCTGCCCCGGAGAACTCTGTAAAATTTTTACTTTCTGCTAAGGGAAAATTTCTGAGTCTAAGCTTAATTGTGGGAAAGCTTTCTTTCTTTTCCTTGTTGCTATTTTAACCATTTTTTAATTTACAATTCAGTGACATCACTTACATTCCCATTGTTGCACAATCATCATCACTGTTGCCAGAGCTTTTCCATCACCCCAAACAAACTCAGTATCCATTAAGCATTAACTACCTATTCTTCCTTCTCCCTAGCCCTCGTAATCACTAAAACATGAGTTTTACCTTCTTAATGTCCAAGCATCTCTGATTTATTTGTCAGTCACTCTTCCAGGGAGCAAAGGTCTAGATTTCTAGCATTGCTATTTTATAAGAGAAAAATAATTTAAACAATCGTAATAAATTAATTACTTGTGCGCACACACACATACACACACACACACAAGATGTATTCCTTTTATGATGATAGAGAGGGCTTTTTAAAGAAAAGCTTGTGGTACCTGAGAAGAGTAAAAGATGTAAAAATGTAAGTATCTATGAGAACTTAATATTCATCATTTGCTGTGACAAGCCATGCAGGAGTAAGTCAAGGATGAGGAAAAAATAAAGGCACAAAATAAAGGCAAAAATAAAAGCAAATCTTTAAAACTTTACGAATCATTCGTTCATACTTACGGGTACTTAGTAATGTTGGAAGGTGATTAATTGAACTATATTATGAAAGTTATTCTTGAAAATCAAGGTAATTAGGTTGGTAGGTTGAGGAAATTAAAACTTATCCAGATTTTTGCAGTTACTTTCTTTGCAAAAAATGTAGAGGGAAAATACCGGCGGAAGGAGCCCTTGTTACTCAGTTTCTGCTGTTAGAAATAAAGTCCAGGGGCATGAAAACACACCCACACCACATGGGTCCGTTAGTGTCGAGAAGTACTGTGAGTCTTAGATTGCTTGGGCTGTGAGCCACTGTTGTCTTGAGTGCATTCTGTTCACCAATAATAGTTCCATGATTTGAAAAAGAATACATAATATTATAAAACTACTTGGATTCCTAGAGATACAGACTAGAAAATAAGATTAATGATTATTTTACGCTTTGGTAACCATTTCTAATGTACTTTGGTGGAATATCCTTTTTTTTCCATGGTGTCATTCTACATTAACTTTTATAGATTTCGGATTGAAAATTCCCTAAAATACTTTTTGATATATTTTTCTCAATAGTTCTCAGTAAACATTTAAATAGTTGTTCAGGTACAGAAGAAACCAAGTAGTTTTGACCCCATTTACTGATTCAATCTATAGTTATTGAGTACCCACTCTGAATAAAGCTCTTCTACACCCAGCCCCCACTGCCTATTGAGACGATTTTGACCAATCCCAACCCTATAGGACAGTGAAACTGCTCCCCAAGGTCTTTGAGGCTGTACATCTGTATGGGAACAGACAGCCTCGTCTTTACCCCACGGAGTGGCTGGCTTGTTTGACCCACTGACATTTGGACTCGCAACCCAGTGCGTGACTCAGTGCATCGCCAGCACTCTTCTAGAAGTGGCCACAGCCAAACAAAAAGATACTTGGGACTTTAAGGAACAACATACAGAATACATTGTCTGTTTTTGTAACTACCTGTTGGTATGGTTTGAAATTTCATTATTTGAGAATCAATAGCTTAAAATCGTGTGTGTGGAATACTCAGCATTATGCTTAATAATATAGTAAACACTCAGTAAGTTGAATTTGCTTTATAAGTTATATTTTAATATAGTACTTTATTGATAAACAGATCAGCTGTTTGCATTCATTTTTCCTGTCAAGTGGTTACTTCTGTATCTTTAAGATGAAATAAAATAACGATGCAGAAAAAGTTAGTAGATCTCGTGTAGCTTATTGATCTGTAAGATACTCATTGCCATCGAGTCAGTGCTGACTCATAGTGACCCCTGCAGGTTTCCAAGACTAACTGTTGAGGGAACTAGAAAGTACAGTCTTTCTCCCAGAGGGCTGATGGTGGTTTCGCATTTGCGACCATGCGGATTGCAGCCCAGTGTGCAACCACTACACCAGAGTTGTTTGATTTGCCTGAAAAGGCTTCGTATTTCCTTAGTCCGTCCTAGGCTCTGAGGAGTTCATTTTCCCCATTGTACGCTAGTCGGACAACATTCACGAATAGCCTCTCTGTATCCTCCTTTGATCAAAGATAAGGGGAGTTACATTGTGGTATTTTTGGAAAATTACTAGAATATGAAAATTCAAAATTTGACATAAAATTGCAAATTCATAGCATATGAGGATTTCTTTTAATCTCCAGTACTTATTGACGTCACAGTTTCCCCATGAGTGAGGTATTATATGACTTTTGTTTTTGTTTTTCTTTACACGTTTATCCCCGTAATGTTGACGGCAGATGGTCTCACAGGACTTTTTCTTGTAGTATCCTTCTCTGTAGCTGATGTCCGTACGTCAGAGTGACATCTTCTTGTATGGTCCATTGGTCATGATTTCACGTCTGTCTGTCCACATCCCTGCTCTGTCTTAAGCAGGTGCTACACTCCACACTCCTGGTAACGGTACCGCTCCTCTGACTGCAGGGTATGCGGGCGAGCTGTGCCCCTGAGAGAGAATGTGCGAACCGGGCGATCTGTACCCCTTGTTCTGTGGCATGTGGAAAGGAGTCAAGCTGGCATAGGATGGCAGCGAGGGTGCGCACAGAGGTTCAGATGAGTGTTGGGTCTGTTAAAGATTACCGACACTGGATAAGTAATTCCTGATTTTTGTATAGATGTGGAATTTCATAAAACTGGAAGGAGGAACGTTGCCAAAAGTTCTCTTCAGGATACTTTGACATTAAAGATATTCTGTAGTTTTTCATTTAATTAATTTTTAAAAGACTCTTAAGACCAAATTTCTATCGGACTTTATCTGATTCGAGTTCCTGAAATCAGTAGGGTGAAAACAATTTCCATCTTTTGCTTTGTAAATTAAAAGATAATCTGATACTTCTTTTGTGTTAAAACAGTGTGTTTGTGTTTGCCATAGAGTGACAATGGCACCCGCCTTTCGCCTTTCTTTGAAACCAAAGGTCAGTGACAACATGACTCACTTGATGGTGGATTTCTCTCAGGAAAGACAGATGCTGCAGACTTTGAAGTTCCTGCCAGGTAAAGTTTTGTGTGATTTCTTTTTTTCCGGCAAGATTGTTCCATAATGGACATGGAATATAAACATTTTGAAAGAAAAGGCTTATACCTTTTCATTAGTCTGTTCAAGGATCATTGAACTTGATCCTTTCCAGAATTATTTAGTGGTGGTACAAAATCCATTTTTTAATATCCTGCTAAGGTGTATTTTTGCTCTGGTTTGGCAAAGGGAAGCAGAATAGTGTGAAATACTGAGCTCAGCCTCATATTCTTCTTTGGTAAGACGTGAATGTTATCCTTCTAGGCAGTGGTTCTCAACCTTCCTAATGCTGTGACCCTTTCATACAGTTCCTCGTGTTGTGATGACAACCCCCAACCATAACATTATTTTCGTTGCTACTTCATAACTGTAATTTTGCTAGTTATGAATTGAGCGACCGCTGTGAAAGGGTCGTTCAACCCCCAAAGGGGTTGCGACCCACAGGTTGAGAACTGCTGTTCTAGGGTTTTTATCTGAACGGTGTGAACTGGTGCCACTAAAGCACTTAAAATAGTCCTGACACATAGTTAATAGTGCATGTCAGCTCCTGCAATGACCATGTGGTTACTCGTGGCTCAAGGAAATTTTTATTCCTGGTAATAATAAAGTTCTGCTGATTTACTAAAGTATTAGTTAGTATGAAGATGTTCCAGTGGTCAAACCATTTGAAATGAAGTCGCAAATTGTCCAAATAAGAACATTTTGGTTAGTATTCTTTTTTTTTTTTTTTTAAACAATTAGGTATGGTTGTTAACTTCTGTTTTGTACCTAGTAATTTGGGGGGGGGGGGTCAAAGAATATCTCAGAAGTCATGTGTTTTGCTTATAGCCTGTTGTAGGCACCTATCTCCCATTGCCCAGAGCCTATTAGTTTTGAATAGGGAATAATAGTAGCACTATGTGATAAGTGTTGGTGGTTCAAACCCACCACCTTCTTCTCAGGAGAGTGATGAGGCTGTCTGCTCTTATAAAGATGTACAGCCCCGGAAATGCCTTCCAGGTCTCAATCAGTCAGACTCGACACTGGGCAGTGAGTTTGGTGTTGTTTATGTTTTAGGAGTCCGTGGAAGTCCACTTGATTGCTAGCAACAAGGTGGGTGGTTTGAATCTATCAGGAAGGTGTCTAGACAGAAAGGTCTGGGGATTACTTCGAAACGATCCTAACGCTTGAAAGCTCTGGGGAGTGCGGTTCTGTTTTGAAACATAAGGGTTAGAATCAATTCTGCATCCACTGGGTTTTGGCTTTTATATTTTCACTCACAATGTTCTACGTAAGAGGAAAATAGCCAACAAAAGGGAAGTAACATCCTTTAGGGTTTGATTTAGAATACTGGATAATTTTTTTCCCAATCATTTTATTAGGGGCTCATACAACTCTTATCACATTCCATACATACATCAATTGTGTAAAGCACATTTGTACATTCATTGCCCTCATCATTCTCAAAACATTTCCTCTCCACTTAAGCCCCCGGCATTAGGTCCTCATTTTTCCCCTCCCTCTTCACTCCCCCCTCCCTCATGAGCCCTTGATAGTTTATAAATGGGTATTTTGTCATATCTTGCCCTGTCCGACGTCTCCCTTCACCCACTTTTCTGTTGTCCGTCCCCCAGGGAGGAGGTTACATACATTTCCTTGTAATCGGTTCCCTCTTTCCTACCCACTCGCCCTCTACCCTCCCAGTATCACCACTCACACCACTGGTCCCGTAGGAATCATCCTCCCTGGATTCCCTGCATTTCCAGTTCCTATCTGTACCAGTGTACATCCTCTGGTCTAGCCAGACTTGCAAGGTCGAATTCATATCATGATAGTGGGAGAGGGGAGGAAGCATTTAGGAACCAGAGGAAAGTTATATTTTTCATCGTTGCTACATCGCACCCTGACTGGCTCGTCTCCTCCCCGATACCCCTCTGCAAGGGGATCTCCAGTGGCCTACAGATGGGCTTTGGGTCTCCACTCCGCACTCCCCCCATCATTCACTATGGTAAGATTTTTTTGTTCTGATGATGCCTTATACCTGATCCCTTCGACACCTCGTGATTGCATAGGCTGGTGTGCTTCTTCCATGTGGGCTTTGTTGCTTCTGAGCTTGATGGCCGCTTGGATCATTTTTAAGTGAGTTGTATAATTTCAGTCTCGCACTTTGAATTTCTTTGGCCCAAACCAAACCAAACTCACACTGATTCCTGAAACCCTGAGAGTTTCCGAGGCTGTAACTATTTAGGGCCTTGGAAAGCCCTGACATGCCCTCAGAACAGCTGGTGGTTTTGAACAGCTGACCCTGCAGATAGCAGCCCAACTCATAACCACTACACTCCCAAGGCCCCTCGGTTTCTTTAGTAAGAAACTGAATTGAAATTTTGAAATTTAAGGTTATAGTACCATAATTCTACCGATTACCAGTTAACTGAGGTTTTGCTTTGAATGAAAACATCCAGATACTTAATTTGGGGGCATATGGACATTAATTTCAGACTAGGAAATTATCTTAAAATTTTAAATTTCTCAATAAAGACCAACCTTTGTAAAGCCCTATAGAAAGAAAAGGAAAATATTTTTAGGAGTCATGGTTGACCTTATGTGTCTCTTCATCACCGGTATGACCTTAAGACCTCAGAATTAGGTTTCTCCCTCAGCTCAGATGGGGTGGATTTGAATTGCCTACCTTTCTGTCAGCAGCCAAGCACTTAACCACTGTGCAACTAGGGCTCCTTACATATGTATATAGTGTTGTGGAATTTTGATTTGTCACTGTATCTATAGGCATTCACTGGTGTTCTATTTTTTCCTCATAGCTTCATAGTAATAATTTAATTTTTCTTAATAAGTACTCAATTTCTTTTACTTTTTTTCTCTTAGAGACAATACAGTGATACGCAAAATGCAAATAAAATATCTTTTGTGCCTCTGTGCCATGAGGATAATTCCACCAATTTATATTTTCCTGAAAATGTTTGAATACTTATACAGCAGTGAAATGAACACCAACTTGATTGGCTACTAACAATAACCTAGTATTTTTTCAGGGGGTGTGAAGTTCATTTTTGTTTAATGCTGAGAAATTAAAGTGATTTAAAGACAGGATTTTAAAATATTATGAAAATATGCAATTTTGAATTTTAAAATCACTTAAAGTAGTTTATTTGTTTTGTCAATACTGACTTTATATACCTATTATATTACATCGACATAGCAGAGTAAAAATATGTGTTCAGAATAACAAGTTATATGAATTGATTTTTTTTTGTAGTCCTTAATATGTGGGAATTAACTTTTTGCCAACTGGGATTTCAGTAAGCTTTTTAAGTTATGAATAAAACCCTAGAAACCCAAGGTTTTATACTTAGCAATAAAAAGTGCCTTAAAAAATAGTGGTTTTAAGACAAATGGGTGCATAAGAAAATGTGGTGAAGAAAGCTGATGGTGCCCGGCTATCAAAAGATCTAGTGTCTGGGGTCTTTAAAGGCTTGAAGATAAACAAGCGACCATCTAGCTCAGAAGCAACAAAGCCCACATGGAAGAAGCACAGCAACCAGCCTGTGTGATCACGAGGTGTCGATGGGATCAGGTATCAGGCATCAAAGAACAAAAAATCATATCAATGTGAATGAGAGGGAGTGTGGAGTGGGGACCCAAAGCCCATCTGTAGACAATTGGACATCCCCTTACAGAAGGGTCTCGGGGAGGAGATGAGCCAGTCAGGGTGCACTGTAGCACTGATGAAACATACAACTTTCCTCCAGTTCTTAAATGCTTCCTCACCACCCCACCCCTCACTATCATGATCCCAATTCTACCTTACATATCCAGCTAGACCAGAGGATGTACACTGGTACAGATAGGAACTGGAAACACAGGGAATCCAGGACAAATGAACCCCTCAGGACCAGTGGTGAGAGTGGCGATACCGGGAGGGTGGAGGGAAGGTGGGGTAGAAAGGGGGAACCGTTCACAAGGATCTACATAAAACCCCTCCCTGGGGGACATACAACAGAAAAGTGAGTGAAGGGAGACGTTGGACAGTATAAGACAAGACAAAATAATAATAATGTATAAGTTATCAAGGGTTCGTGAAGGAGGGGGGTGGGGAGGGAGGGGAAAAGTTAGGAACTGATACCAAGGGTTCAAGTAGAAAGCAAATGTTTTGAGAATGATGATGGCAACAAATGTACAAATGTACTTGACACAATGGATGAATGTATGGATTGTGATAAGAGTTGTATGAGCCCCTAATAAAATACTTAGCTAAACCTTTTGGTTCACTTAGATGGTTTAAAAACAGAATGAAATAAAATCCAAGATCAGAAGAGGAAATTGTATTGGAGCTTAAATTCTGAACACTTGCTTGGCAGAAGACAATGAATAACAGTAGTGAAAGCCCAAAATTCATTTATGGATATTCCTTGGGGATCAAGCCTCCATTGAGTTCCCTGGATCACCAATGTGAATACCCTCAGGCAGAGTGCTTCAGAAGTGAATCAACACTGAAGACAAAATGTGTGCATGAGCAAATGTAGTGAAGAAGGCTGATGGTATCTGGCTATCAAAAGATACAGCGTCTGGGGTCTTAAAGACTTGTAGTTAAATAAGTCGCCATCCAACAGGGAAGCAACAAACCCCACATGGAAGAAGCAAACCATCATGTGTGATCATGAGGTGTTAATGGAAAAGGGTATCAGAAGTTCAAAAACAAGCAATCAAATCGATGTGAATGGGTGCAGATGTAGTGGAGACTTGAAACCCACCTGTAAGATAATTGGACAGTCCCTCTCAGAAGGGCTACAAGAAGGGATTATATAGCCAGGGTGTGATAAAGCACTGATGAAACACATAACTATCCTCTAGTTCTTTGATATTACTTCCCATATTATGTTTTTTATTTGTTTTAACTCATTAACCATGTTAGACTTGTGTATGTTCATTTGTACAATTAAGATCTTTCAACATATGAAAGCCAAGATAGATAACCCTTCAGAAACAGTAACAGGAGTAATGGTTCCCTGAGGGTATGGGAAGAGAGGGGAAGGAAGGGGAGAGGTAAAGGGGGAGCTGATAGCATTGATGACTGTATAACCCCACTCTCGGGGAGTGAACAACAATTGTATGTGAATGGATATATTGGATGATATAAGACAGAGCAATCATTATATATATTAAAAATATATATATATTCAATCCTGAGGGGTAGGGTGGTGGTGGGAGGGGATATAGGGGAGCTGATATCAAGGAGTTCAAGAAGAAAGAAAATGTTTTGAAACTGATTGTGATAGCAATTGTACAATACTGCTTGATGTGATTGAACTGTAGAATGTTATGATTTCTGTAAGAGTTCCCAATAAAATGATTTAAAAATAATAATAATGATAAAGTGAAACAATGCAGATATATTTAGATTAAATTTTAATGAACATTTCATCACTTGTTTTTTTTAAACCCATTTTTAACTTGTTCTAGATTTTAATTCTTTTTTTTTCCCTTAGGATAGAGGTTTTTCTATACTTTAGTTTGCTGTTTTGCTTGGTGTTTTTGTTTTTGTTTTGCTGTATAATTTTCTTTATGTGAAATTCCGGGTAGTGAATCTATAGAGACAATAACTAGGTTAATAATTTCTTAGGGGTATCACAGGGGATGTGGGGGTAATGGGGAGCTAATGGTACAAAACTGAACAAAACGTTCCACACTTGGTTGGGGTGATGATTGCACAACTCTTTAATATATTCAAACCATTGAGTGGTGTGATACCTGAATTATATGTCAGTGAAACTGTTTTTAAAAAGCGCAGTTTGAACGACAAACATAAATACAACTGTAATAAATGAGGTTGTATTTGCTTGTTGTTTTTCCCAGTTCCCAAAGCTCCAGAGATAGACCCAGAGGAGTGTCTGGTGGCTGACAACGCTGTGACAGTAGCATGGAGAATGCCGGAGGAAGACAATAAGATTGACCATTTTATGCTGGAATACCGGAAAACGAACTTTGATGGCCTTCCACGTGTGAGGGATGAGCGGTGCTGGGAACTGGTTGATCATATCAAGGGTTCTGAGCACACACTGTCAGGTAAAGCAGCTGCAACTTAGGGGCCTCATGCCGAGAGTACCCATGTTCTCCTGAAAACTATTTTTAAAGTACAATAAAAAATGAAGTTAATGTGAAGTTTCTTTAACCAAGCTCACTTTTTCAATTTTTTAAATTTATTTTTCCAAGCTCACTTTCTATATATTGGCATTCAAGGTGAATTTTCCTCAAAACACTTGTTTTAGTTGCTGCTGGGTGTTTTTGGAACATGACCGCACAGAATCTCTGTGAAACATGTGAAGGAACATTCTAGAGCCAGTATCTCAAAGTGACAGTTACTTTTTCCTTGGCTTTTGACTACTTTTTGTAGGTACACAACCCTCCCCCCATGACACTCACTTGCGTCAGTGAGGCTGTTGCTGTCCCTGCTTTCAGAGTACCTGCATGTGAATAGCTAAAGTAGGGTGGAGACTGGGTATTAGAAACCTGCAACCTGCCCACTGAAACGTTTTTAGAATGCCTTCTCTGAGGAGGGCTTGGGAGGCTTGAGTGGCCGAGTGTTCCTTGAGCAAGTTAGTGCTTGTGATGCATGAACAGTAACGTTGGCAGCCCTCACTTTGAACACTGACTTTTGTCTGGAGGTGTGCTCACTCGGAGTTGCACCCAGTGAGGATGCTGCGTGCAGGCAACACTGGTGGCACAGTGGGTTACGAGCGGGGCTGCCAACCACAAGGTTGGCGTTTCAAACCCCCGCTGGGGGAAAGACGAGACTGTATGCTCCCACATGGATTTTGACATGGAGCCCTGTGGAGCAGCTCTGCGCTTTCTTTTCTGGGTCTGATTGAACTCGGTAACAATGGGTTAGTGCGCTCTCTTCTTTTATTTTACAGTGAAAGTAACTTTGGTATAATGTAGTATAACTGGACAGGCATTTTTAATTTCAGAAAATATACTTCTATTCTGATACTATAGATGAATGTACATAATATTATTTCTTTTAACTTTTTACCGTGAATTGGGTGAAAGTTTATAGAGTAGATCTTCAGTCTGACATTCAGCAATTCATTCACACTTAGTATGAACTCATCCATTTCAGTCCCCTCATTGGACCACTTCCTGCGTGTGTTTCCTCTTTCCTTTCCTCCTTTTCCCTAACCCTTTGAACTTGACCTTGAGTAACATGCATCCCTTGGGATCTTACATGGTTCATGATTCTAACGCAGGGGTGGAGTGGGAGGGAGGAGTGAGTTCAGTCCCAAACCTGTAGTGTTACTTCTTGATAAAATATTACTTTTCATAAAGCTTGAAAGGTGCTCCTTTGTCACAGGGCTAGAGAGGGGGTAGTGGGAGAGAAACAGCTATTCATAAACTTTATTATGTCTTTCTTTGGAAGGAAATGAGATTCATCATGTTTTCCCTGATTTCACGCATTATCGCCCTTTTAGCATGAATTCTTACTCCGTCTTAGTAAAGTGATGCTTTCACAGAGGACGGAAGAATCAGTTTTAAAGTTCATACTCATACTTGTGGACAGATTACTTTTCATGTCTGAAAGCCATTCTCAATTTCACAGGTTTAAAATTTGATGCAAAGTATATGAATTTCAGAGTGCGAGCATGTAACAAGGCTGTGGCTGGAGAATATTCCGATCCAGTGACTCTAGAGACCAAAGGTAAGGTATACAACACAAAACAAAACGTAGTACCTGACGCGATTTACTGCTTTGTAAAAAGAAGCATTTCGTGCATGGTCACTCATCATACACACTGGAATCCCCTATAGTAAGGATTATAAAATCTGGAAAATAGAAGTACAGTAGTGATTTCCACTAGGTTTTCCTTTATAATTAGATTCAGAAGGGTGACATCGACTGAGATGATCACGATGATGTATGCTCTGGTGCTTAGTCTACAAATTTCAGTGAAGTACAAGTGATGGAGCATCACTGAGATTTGCCTAGAGTTTTCCCAGGGAACGGATTATGCTTCAATAATGGGGAAACACCAGTTCCGTTTAGTTCAAGTTCAGGTTCCCTCTATTGTCCAGAATCTTTTGTAACAATTAACATTTATATAATTCTTTAGTGCTGTTTTAGGGTGCAAAGGACACTCCAGTTCCCAAATATAATTTAAGGAGAATATTTGTTAAGTCTTAAGCAGGGCAAATAAGAAACTAAAACCCCATGTGAATGAGGGGGACCATTAGCACATGGTCATAGTGCCGACCAAGCGTTTGGTGAGATGCAAGGACTTCAAAAGGACAAAGGAGGGCAAAGGAAACTCACGAAAGACGATGGGCAGCAGGTCAGTACATCACATTACAGCCGGTGTACGGAATCGAGATTGGGACAAGGATGGGGATGCGAACTCTACGTTAGACAGAGCATTTACCAGATTGGTCCAGGGCCTTCCAACCAAGGCAGCCAGGGCATGATGACTATGACTGTGGGGGCGCAGTATGCTGTCTCCATCAAAGACACACCCAGGCACCCCTAAAGGAGACTCCCCCTCCCTGGGCTGGTCAGGGGAGAGGAAGAAACCCACTCTCTAGTGCACTCTGCCATAGGCCAAGACCATTCACATTCCGGATTAATGATCAGAAGGAGTTCAATGGACGCTTAATCCAAGTGGGGGCTCTGCAAGTGGACTTTGGGCTCACACTACTGTCACTTTCATATTGGCTGCTCAGAATTTAAATTGTAATGCAAAGCACTTTCACAGTTCTTCATTTGTCAAGTAAAACCCTAGATCGTTATTGATCATAAAGTAAAATATAACCAAATTAAATAACCTTTCCAGGGTCCCTAGAGCTAGCTGAGAAGAGTGTGAATAAAAATCCATTTCCATGTTCTGTGCCAGCTATTATTGAAAGTTTCAAACCTACGTTCTTCTAGTTTCTATGATCGATTTAGGTTTGGTTAAAACCCTCTAGAGCAGTAGTTCTCAACCTTTCTAATGCCGCAACCCTTTAATACAGTTGTTCCTCATGTGGTGACCCCCAAACCATAAAATTATTTTTGGTGCTACTTCATAACTGTAATTTTGCTACTGTTATGAATTGGGCAACCTCTGTGAAAGGGTTGTTCGATCCCAAAAGGGATCACAACCCACAGGTTGAGAATTGCTGCTCTAGAATTACACATTTGAAGAATCCCAGCTATATTAGGATGGGCTTTTTAGAGAAAACCAAGACAGTTATGTGTATAAGAAAGAAACTTGTATTAGGGAAGAAATGTGTATCAAGCAAGCAGCCGACCCAGCCACAAAGTGGACTAGCCCAGTCCAGCTCGAGCCCATGCATGGGTCAGATACTAGTTGAAGTCCCTTCCCTACGCATGCAGCTGCCAACCAGTGACCAGGAAAATGAAGCAGGAGTCCGGAAGACAACAGGCCGCTGGACACAGTGTCATGTGGATTCAAGGCGAGGAACATGATAGGCTCTGACAGCTCCCAAGGGTTGGCCGGCCTCGTGGTGGACACTGGCCCAAGTCCCAGGAAGCTAGAGGCAGGAACCAGGCCAGGAGGAAGAGAAAGAGACAGTTCTCCACAATGCTGCTTATAGATAACACATCACCAAGGATGCTGGTGTAACCTGATTGAGAGGTTACATCTTTCCACAGGTGCAGCACAAAACCCAACTATCACACCGAGGCATTTCATAGTGCTGGGGACCTTGTCAGTTACGAGAGGATAACTGACTAGATTTCCTTTCAGAATCAAGCTACCCATGGTTGTAGGTCTCGGGGTGTAGGATGCTCCACTGCTCTCCAGTTCACAAAACGTTTGCACGCCAAAAGCTCTGTGTGAGTTGGAGGGTATAAAAATATTCAAACAAAGTGTTAAGTTTATGAATATTGGCAAGACTCAGAAAAATATGTTTGCGTTACTGCTATCTAAAAAAAACTAACTTGATTTAATGTGTTTGGGTTAGCCAATTTCAAATTTGCATTTCTTTTATATATAAAAATGACATTAATTTACATTACCTGTTAGCAAGTGGAGATGCTACTGAAATTTCTTCAGAGGTGTTTACTATTTCAAATCATAGCAACAACAAATGCAATTGTCTCCATAACTTGAACAGTGCTTAATTAGCCCTTGTGGGGATAAAATTACACTTTTATTAGTATGCTCCCTAATTATTTGAGACCTAGTCTTTTGAAGTTAGTCTTTTTATTTTACTATATACTGTTGTTCCTGTTACCTTATCTTTGATTTAACTGAGACCCCATGAAGGATTAGTGTTACCCCACCACAAAAGAGAGAGGAGAGAGGGAGGGAGAAATTGCACACCTGGCATCAGAACTCACCGTTTTCCATTGAGGTGCTGTGGCATTTGATAGGTCTGGTGTCAGGTAGTTTAGGGTGGTACCTTTTCTTTCCACTCTTATCTCCAGGATGGCTCCTAGCCCTATTCTCGAGCCTATCAAACATTAGGCACAGTTTTGGGATTTTCAGAGTTAATTGAGAATGGGGCACTTTACAGTTTAATCTTTTCTTCATTTTTCTTTCAACTACGCAAATGTTCTCACGTGTATTAACTAATAGCCACTTAGAGGCAGTTCATTTCTTGGTAGTTTTAACATCTCAGTTCAGTTTACTGGCCTTCTACTGGATCCTGGGTTCCCAGATTTGGCTATTGATTGGCATCCTCTGTTGATGAGCCAACAGCTCTGTGGCTCTCCTCTTCCTGGAGATTGTGACTGCTGAGGTGGAGCCCAGGAGTCTAGTCCCCCGGTGATTCCAATGAGATGCCAAGGTTGGAGACCTACATGCAAGAGCCATCCAAGACTTTGAACCATTTCATCACCTGGAGAAAAGAGAATCAGCTAAAAATTCCTTTGTATTCTTAAGCATCCCCTAGAATCTTGTTAAAAGGGAGATTATGATTCAGTATATCTGGGATGGAAAGGCAAATTCTTAGCAGGGAGTCAAATCAGAATGAACCAGTTGAATCCCTGGATTGCATAAACGGATTAAATCTTAACTTTTATTACCCTACCTAGTACAGAATTCTGTTTCCTTTTTTTTTCCCACTGAGACATGCCATAATTCTTTCCTGTAAATTCATTTTTGTTTAGACACAGATTTTTAAAAGCTATTAAGTTGCAGAGTAAGATATTTTCCAGAAACTATTGTGCTCGGTAGATTTGTAGTTAGAATGTTGTTTTATGAATAAAGACAATGAACAATGGGTCATCAGTTGCATTGTTGAATTTAAAGTGTGATTTACAAAACAATGGGGGATAAGAAGATGTTTATCTCTTTAGGGGATCATTAGGTTTCTATGTACTTATTCTGTTGTTTGATGATACACACTTCACAGATATGAAGCCTTAGCTAAAGCAGGTGGCATTTTTCAGTAAAATGTGGTAATGTAAGAGAATATTTCTTCACTGGATAATTACCAGAAATCTCAGCTTTCGGAGGGAAATATAACTGATAGAAGCAGATAAAAGTAGGAGAACCTAAACATCTGCTGAGCCACGAGTCATTAAATTTAAATGACTTTATCCTAAATTTCCAAAATAAGAAAGTTGTGCTGGTTTCCTAAATGAGCAGTTTGGGCTAAGTTTGTGAATAGTGCAGGTAGTTCACCCAGATTCCAAATACTCTGGGAAACAGTTTTGTTTCTGGTTTTGTTTTTCATGTAAGCCACCATTTCCCATTTGCTACAAATTGTCACCTAAATTATTTTGTCACCTGAACCAGTTCCTTTGATCATTACCCCAGTAACATCCTGATTCCAGTTTCTATTTGCTTATCTTAACTTGAAACTAATAGCCATTCAGTATGAAATTATTAAATATTAGAGCACTAGATAAAATATGTGTGTACCAGGCTCTGTATTAATATCATGTCACCTTCTCCTACTCTGTACTGATAGAGATTCTGGCAAAGGAAATGGAAACGAGGGTTTTGAACCGGTTCTTCTTGGTTCAGTCGTGGCTGACAAAGTGAAACTGAATAAACCAGAGATCGTCAAACGTAGGTGAACAGAACCATAACCAGAATGGGGGCATTTACAGGGCCTGCCCTGCTAGAGACACAGTCTCTTTCTTAGGCACAAGGACAACTTGCACAGTGCGTAGCAGCCAAATCTAGTAGAGCCGGAGACAGCGGTCCCTGCTCACAGCTGGCTGCGCCACTCTGAGTGCACCGTCACTTTTCACGGTCCTGGCGGTAACCCAGCCTTCCTTGCCCGACTCCTGAAAGGCTCACTGTGCCTCTTCCCAGGTTCCCATCCCTGGCTTTGACTCATACGTTTTCCTGTTGTGGTTATTGTTCTGGTTCACCCAGATTTTACAAATGTGAGTCTGTTCCACTTTCACCTCATTCGTCTTGACTGAACCAGTTTGAAACCTCGGCAGAAACAGAGTGGGCATATATGCAAGTACATTGTATTTGGTTGGACTGTAGGGTTCAGAGCTTATAAGGAGGAATAGGAAATACGGTAGCAATGGTAAATTGAAGCCTTTTTCGTCAAGACATTAGATGCCGGGATCAGGAACTTGAACTTCCCTCTCTGCACATACTGTTAAATCCACCGAGTAGGCAGGAACCAGGATGGAAATTGTTTCAGAGGGATGCCACTTTTTTCTTTCGTCCTGGGCATGCTTATTCTTTAACAAGCGGTGTGAAATGTTGTCTTTCATAGCACTTAACTTCAATTTGGATAACTCATCCTCACATGTGAACCTGAAAGTTGACGATGCCTGTGTAGAATGGGACCCCACCGGAGGCAAAGGTCAAGAACCTAAAATTAAAGGGAAGGAAAACAAGGGCAGGTGAGCTCGTTCCGCAAAGCTGTCATTTGGACAGAGCCTTTGTACACTGGTCTTATTTATTTGCAGTGGCCTCGCTAGAGTTGGTGCCAGTCACCGTGCAGTAACTCGTGGTGCCCCCTCCCCTGCTCCCTCCACCTCCAGAATCCTTAGGAATGATCCTTACCAATTTTAATCACAGAATTATAGTTGATCAGTATAGTAGTAAATGGTGTCAGTGAAATATTTCTTAGATTATTTGAACACAATTGTTCAAATTTGTAGAAAACAAATTGTTTTCTAAATCTTGCTACATGGAATAGCAAATGATCACATACATTATTAGTCACTGAGCTGAAGCCTTAAACATTTTTTTCCTTCTTTTCCTTTAATTACTACTTCATTCTCAAAAAAAGTTACTGATAGGGATTCACAGATACTACTTACCACAATATTGCAGTTAAAACACCAGAAAATGGGACCAAATCAGGAACAATGAAGTCACCAGTAGCGCCAAAACCAAGATGACCAGATGTCCCGCTTTTGGCGGGACAGTCCCGATTTTTAACAATTTTTCTCGCCTTCCGCGGCATTTTTAAAAAGTCCTGATTTTTGGAAAGAATGCACGACAAGCTAGGGTATACGGTTTTCGGCTGCCATGTGGCTATTTCGCCAGGATATGAGTTTTATCAATGGTGTCCCGCTTTACCAGTGTTAAAATCTGGTTACCTTAAGGTGCAAAACCCACCACCAGTGCTTGTAGCTCGCACAGATGAAGCCAGAGGGTTGAACATCATTGTAATTGAGTAATGATGACAGCTCTGACCGGAACGCATTAGCGTTCAAAGAGTCAATCAGCATAGAGCTTTAGGCTTGTATGTACATTCATACATGGTAGCTGGGCTTATGAAAAATGCTTGCATTTCTCTAACTACTTCAGGGCATACATTTCTGCCATAACCCAACACAAAATGTTTATAGGTGGTCATTTTGTTGTCACCCCTCTGACAGTGCTGCCGGGTGTGATCAGGACCTCCTATTAGCCACCCGACCCCCAGTGGCTGCCTTGCTTATTTAATGACAATGTACAGTGAAATTTTTACTCAGTATACCAAGAAGTTATACTGTGTTAGAAACATCAAAGTGAAAAATATAATACCGCTCATCAATAGTTGAATGTGTCATTAACATTATTTGTGCTTAGCTTCCTTTCTGATCATTATATTTTACATTTTTATTACAATATCCCATTTCTTTATCCTTATGTCTACCGCAACTTCAACTACTTAGAGACAAGTTTCTAGTATAACCACTTCGCTTTAAACTTTAAGACCAGAAGGTCTCCACTGAATGACAACTTTAGCATGTCCTACCTCCTGACCAGGCATGCGGACTTTTTGTTATTGTCAGAATATATTTCATTAGTCTCAAGGTAAAGAGCCTCTTTCTTTTTTAACAAAGGAAAACTTTGCTCAAACTGAAGTAGTTGGAAATGTCACCATGAGTTACAAACCACTGAGTGGGTCCCAACTCACAGTCACCCTAAAGAGCCAAGTAGAACTGTCCCTTTGGGCTTCGAGGCTGTAAATCTTGATGGGAGGAGGCAGCCTCATCTTTTTCCCTCAGAGTACCTGAGTGGGTTCAAACTGCTGACCTTGGGGTTAGCAGCCCAACTCATTACCCACAAAACCACCAGGACTCCTTATGAATTATAACAGTCGATCAAATACTTTCCTCAGCAGGCTTTTGATTTCATTTTTTCTGTAAAATGTTAAAGTTTAGTTGAAAAAAATCTCTTAACAGTTGCCTGTTTTTATCTGACAGTGCCCATGTTACTTCACTGAAGAAACACGCAAGGTGATGATCTGTGTCCGTCTAGCTCTAGGACTTAGTGTCTCTAGCTTGGCTGATTAACTCCTTTTTTTAAAACCAATCAGCAGAAGCCATTGCAACAGCTTTTATAAGCCACAATACTGCTTTGTGTAGACTCTCTGTATTGGTAGCTTATGTTTTGACCTTACAGCATTATAGCGTGCTGCATATTATTTGGATTTCATTGCGTATGATAACAACACAATAAGCTCTGCTCTGAAGTCTTTTGTGAATTATTTCCCCACACCTGATTGTTCTCTGCATTTACTCACACTGACCTCTCTCTCGCTGTGCCGCACTCAGTATGTCTTAACACTGTAGCTTTGCTTTTACTTGTATTTGATGCTAGGCAGATTTGAAGTGTTGTGTATTTTATAATAATCTTGTCATTTCCAAAGCATCAAGGATAAAAAATACAGGTCAGCGTATTATTAGGACAGTGCCAGAAAGAATGTATCATTTCAAATTGCACAAGTAATGATGTGCCAATTTGAAGATGTCACACACCTTTTCCAGATCCCAGATGTAGTCTCGTTTCAAGCTCAACTTTTCTCTTCCTTTCAGTTTATTCTCGCCTTACTCGTGAAAATGATCTTGTGTTTAATATGCTACAAGTTGTAAAACAGGACTGGGTTTATAAGCACCTGTGTAATTTGAGTTTGGTCACTTGGAAATGTTTAAACTGTACTAAGCATTCAGCTTATTTATTTCATTTTTTCCTTTTAAGGAGATTTTTAGAATTTTGCATCCATTTATTATTTTCGTAAATATCTATTGAATGCAAGATGTCATGTTGGATTCGTAAGAGTGAACGCTGTCACTGCCTCCCAATAACGTGCTCGGATTTGTGTGGTTGACGTAGCTCACTGCCATGGAATCGATACCGATGCAGAGAGACCCTGTAGCACAGAGTAGAATTGCCCCCTTTGGGTTTCTGAGACTTTAAATCTTTACAAGAACAGACCACCTCAACTTTCTTCCTGGAACAACTGGTGGGTTTGAACTGTCGCCTTTGTGGGTAGCAGCTCAGTGCAGACATAGCCCACTAACCTACAGGCCTCCTGAGATAGATATATTTACATATGTTCAAGTAGAGATGCTGATATAGATTATACTTAATGAATGCTAAGTGTGAATACAGGAGTGCAAAGGAAGGAAGATAGAGCGGCCAGGTTGGAGGGGGTCAGTTAGGACAACTCACTGAACTAAATGTAGCAGTGAAGGCTTCATTCACATACTGTGAGCCTGTAAACAAACACTCATGTGGGCAAGACGCTGCAAGGGAAAAGATCCTGTCTCCTCCATGGTTCCCTTTTTTTCTTACAGAATGGCAGCCAGTGGACAATGCAATTGTAGGATTATCTCACTGCCAGAGAACCCCAGACAGAACTATGTGATTAAAAGACCCGAGGACTGGAAGGTGGGGAGGGACTAGGGATGGAAAAGCGCGGAATCACAGTGGAGAAAAGAATCTAGCCTCCCCGCGTGCCCACAAACACACAGCAGGGGAATGGAGCCGCCTTGGCTAGGATTGCCTCTGAGCATGGGCAGCCTGTGGGCCAGTCCTTGATTCCAGCTCTCTCCAGAGACTGCAGGAAGCACACCGGCTGGGCATCAAACCTAGTGTGGGGAAAGCTGCCAGACAAAGCCTGTATAACTAACTGCCTGTGGTTTGATCTGAAAGAAGCGCTTTTAACCTGGAGCCAGACTTCTTAGAAGAGTTGCTTAGCCGGGTATGGTCTGGAAGACCTTCACGAAGGGCATGGTATTTGAACAGGTTCCCTAGGAAGCAGAAGAATGTGTGCCATGCCGTTGAGGCTTGTAGGGAGAAGGGAGTCCAAGCAGCGGGAAACCCCTGGGCAGACTGACGGAGTCTGAGGACGCCATCTGCGGGGTGAGCTGCATATAGTGCGTAGTGCTTTGTAGCCGGGAGAAGACTGAAAAGATAGCTTTAAAAAACCTTTCAGTGTAAATTAGGTGGGGGTTTAGATTGCAGATCATCAATTTTATATTCAACAATGGAAACTACTTATGAAATGTCCCAGTAGATTGGGACCAAATTTTAAAAGCTTGAAATGCTAAACTAGGTAGTAAAAGAGTGGGGTCGAAGGTTTACCTGGTAACCATGCACAAGAGGAATTGGATGGCAAAGATCATCGGGAAGCTGGCCGACAGCGGCCCAGCGCAAGGTAGCACCAAGTCCCTTCAGGTGGCGAAGTCGCCCAAGTGCCCTTGACAGAGCTTCTTCGGCTCAGAGCCTGGAAGGCTGGATCGGAAGAGTTCTCGCTATTTTACTTTTTTTCTGAAACTAAACTGTCATTCTCAATAGTTATATCTGTTTTTCTTTCCCCCATGCTGTCCCTTTATTTCTTTACTACGGGTAAGTTACAATTTTTGCTTTTAAAGATGATGGTTTTAGTTTTTGAGGTAGCGCTACGTGAAAATGTTCTGCATACTTGCTGCTTTCTCTTACCCAGCGGGGACATGTTTTCCAGTGCATGTACCATCCCAGCAGACATTCTGGACTGAAATCTGAGTGCTAACTGTGAAAAAGGTTCCCGATTGGCTCCGATCCCGATGAACCTTCTCACTGGGAAACCGCTGCCCTCTTGTAAAACCCCACATGCTCGAATTCCTCCAACTTCAGACTGTGGTTCAGGAAGGTGTGGGCCTTAGGCAGCAGCATCGCGTGCTTGTGTTCTATTTACTCAGTTAGCAGCGCTTATTCCTGCAGTTCAGTGCGGCACCCTGCACCCTACTGAGGATGCGGAGATGGGACTATGTGGCTCTGCCCCTAATCGTTGCCCTCCCTTAGCTGGCCCTCAGCCACGGTCCCCACATGCCCCAGCAACTGAGTGGGTAGGGTGCTGTGGGTACATTGTGAGGGGACTCTCTTTCTCCCCACCCTTTTTTTTTAAAAATCGTTTTATTAGGGGCTCATACAACTCTTATCACAATCCATATGTACATCAATTGTGTCAAGCACATTTGTACATTCATTGCCCTCATCATTCTCAAAACATTTGCTCTCCACTTAAGCCCCCGGCATTAGGTCCTCTTTTTTCCCCTCCCTGCCCGCTCCCCCCTCCCTCATGAGCCCTTGATAATTTATAAATTATTATTCTGTCATATCTTGCCCTGTCTGACATCTCCCTTCACTCACTTTTCTGTTGTCTGTCCCCTAGGGAGGAGGTCACATATAGTCTCTGGTTATGGGATTTTTTCCACCACTGGCTCCCGACCTGGTTTAGCTGAATATAAAATCCTGTAATTCTTAATTAACAAACAACTATTTCTGAACTTCACCCCTCTGATATTCTGATTCGGTAGTCAGGGATGGGGTTAGCGATTTGCATATTTTTAACTCCCCAAGTGATTTTGATGTGCAGGCACCACCGGTGTATCCAGGAGGCTTCCAGGAGTACTCTCGGGACTCATTCTAATGGCTCCTCCTCACCCAGTACCTCTCATCGGCTGCACGCTGCTCTCCCTGCATCTGATTCTTGCCTCACAACAAAACCTGTCCCTTTTTTGCTTGCTCCATCTTTCAGCAAACAAGCCATTGTAGCCCTGATTGTGAAGGACAAGGATAGTCCCAGGACTACTACAAAACCCCGGAGTTTGACGTGAAATGAAACATCATGAAGCGCTAATGTCCCATCTTGCTTCTCTGGTTACGAAACTAGTTTCCCCACACTGACATTTAAGATTCATTTAAATATGTGTATTTTTTGTATGAATTGCCAATACTGGTAGGTGAATTAACTTAGGAAGTGGAAGATTAATGTGCACTAATATTTCAATGCCTTTTTCCAACTAACTAATCCTTGGTACCCCATCTAAGTGCTCACCTGTTGTTTCTAGAGCAGAGTATATTTGCATTTCAGATGAACAGTTTTAGATGACTCTTTGGAGAATAACTTGGCAAATCATACTGACTTCTTATATTACATAGGAGTTCTGGAGACCTAAAAAAAATTTTTTGTTATGTTTTTTAAGTTGTGTTAGAACAATTTTTCTTTCAATCCCCTTGCTTTGCATGTCCTACTAATGTTGCATGTAGAAGTTTTCACACTTTAACTTTTTAAAATTTATTTAAGTTATTTATTTGGGGTATATTTAATATGGGAGATGTTACAGTATTTTTAAAAATCACTTTATTGGGGCTCATACAATTCATCACAATACATACATCAAAGGTGTAAAGCACACTTACACATTTGTTGCCCTCATCATTCTCAGCATTCGCTTTCCTCTTGGGTTCTTGGCACACTTTAACTTTTAAAGCCACAGAATGGTTGCTTCAAATGAAAGGTTTCCTGAAGCCTGCTTTTAGAAAAAGGAAAGTCCAACTGGTTAGAATGCCCCTCGCTCCGGCAGCAGCCTGGGAGGCATCCTTAGGCAAGGAACGTGGTTTGAAAATCGTCTACACAAGCATGAACAGAGACTTCCTATTTTTAATTTGGGGAGAAGGTTAAAAATGGAACTTTTTAATTTAGGGAAGAACTAAATCACAGGAATGCTACAGTCATAGACTTTTGATTAAGTTTAACCATAATATCATTCCATACTTAATATTCTACTTGATTAGAAAGTTGAAGTTCCTGCAGTCACTGTTTAAGTCTTTGAAAACTGTCCAATGAATCTGCTTTCTGTGAGCAAGATGACATTTAAATAATGCAGCACACTGAATGTGTGAAATTATGATAACTTTTTATCTATATAGTTGCCTTTCCTTTGACAGGGATTTATTTTTTGGGTATTGGTTGACAGCTGTTAAATTACTAAATTAGCCTTTTCTAAGGAAAAAAATTCCAGCACAATGATCTTGGGAAGATTGCTTTTATTTTTAATTGGTGTTAAGAATGTAGGTAGGAACATGTTCCATTCTCTTTAAGTAATGCTTTCTGGATAATCTTGACAAAAATAGTTGTTTTTAAATTTTATATCATCAAAATGTGCTTTTCTAGTCATCTTTTAGGATGTTATCTATTTTGGTTTTTTGAGAGTTCAAATTCTATGTCATAGTAAACTGTACTTTTTTAAAAGTTACAGTTTACCATGTCTCATAATTCGATGTAAGGAGAGTGAGACTGGAGCCTGTCTGTTATGGTGGAGAAATGCTTCATAATACATCAAATTTGTAACATCATTCTGCTAGGGCTGCATGGGTTTGTACAGCTACAGTTTCTCTTTTTAAGAAGAAACAATCCACAACTACGTGCCTACTGACTTGTGAAAGGATTATTTAGCTGTACTTATAATAGTAAAGGAACCTTAGCTTGTTTTGACTTAGCTGTTCATCCCCCTCGTCGGTCATATGCTGTTAGTTTTAGCATTGCTTTTAATTTCACCTCAATACTTTTCAGCCTTGCTTGGTCTGCATGGCATTAGTGCTTCTAGCCAGCTTTATGTTCATGGTTTCTTATATTTAAGTTTTTGTAATTAACAATGCTCTTTAATAATAATTTAGATAAAATAAAACGGCACTGTTCCTGAAACAGAATTAGAAATCTTGTTGAACCTTCATTTTGTGGTTTGTAATTTTCATGTGTGAAACACAGAACAGAGTACTTGTTTGTCTTTTTGTCCCTGTTCTTGTAGAAGTGGTACGCCATCCCCCAAACGGACATCTGTAGGCTCCAGACCACCCGCAGTAAGAGGCAGCCGAGATCGTTTTACTGGGGAATCATACACGGTGCTAGGTAGTGTACAACATGATAGTTCTTCCTCTTCTCAACCTAAGGGAGTCGCTGTCAACCCAGTGGGCTTTTACTCACTCAGAGAGGGAGTGGCTATCTTGTGTGGAAATCTTTGCAAAAGTTTCTGACTGTTGAAGTTTAATTACTTTGGAGAGTTTGTAATCGCATACTGTTATCATTGCTACTTAAAGAAAATCTTCTAGATCTACATAGTGCTCCCTTTCTAATAATGTGTGAGCTTTAACAGAATAGTAAGGAAGAAGAGATGTACTGTAATATATATTTTACATATTCAGGAGAAAAATAGCAATACAGTTACAATAGGTACTCTGCATTTAGTTTCTAATAAAAGCAAATATTTGAATCAATTTTTTTGGTTTTGTGGTTTAAATAAAAATGTGTGACCAGTCGATCATTTTAAGGAGCCCCAGTGGCCCTGTGGTTAAGCACTTGACTGCTTGCTAACGGCTGTCTTGTGGTCTAAATGCACCAGCCACTCCACAGGAGAACGATGCAGCAGTCTGCTTCCATAAGGATGACAGCCCGGGAAGCCGTGTGGGGCAGTTCTAGTCTGCCCTAGAGAGTTGCTGGGAGGTGGGCTCTGCCCTATTCGGCCCTAGAGAGTTGCTGGGAGGTGGACTCACAGGGGGAGTTGGGGAATGAGGGGTTGGAGTAAGGAGTTTTATTGGAAGAGAGAGAGTCAAATCATCTACCTTCTCTGGTCTTTTGCAGGAGACACTGCTATTGAAAATGGACAACACTATTGGGAAGTCAAGGCCCAGAAGGATTGTAAATCTTACAGTGTGGGAGTAGCCTACAAAACTTTGGGGAAGTTTGACCAGTTGGGAAAGACAAACACTAGTTGGTGTATCCATGTCAACAACTGGCTACAAAACACATTTGCAGCCAAGCACAATAATAAAGTCAAAGCCCTAGATGCTACTGTGCCTGAGAAAATAGGTGTATTCTGTGATTTTGATGGAGGTGAGTTACTTATTTTCTCTTGAGACAATAATTGCTGCGTAGTTCCTCGTGTTCCAGCACTTTTTGCTGGTAATCATCTGTGCAAAGCTTAATTCTGTGGTGTGGGTGTTTTGAACAACTACTGTTTCATCACACACATAATCTCAGTTTAGAATCAAGTGCAAGAAGGGAGATGACGCTTAGAGTCCTACAAAAGCACTCACCGCTGGTATATGAAAGATCCCTGATGGTGCAGTGGCTATGCATTAACCTGCTGACTGCAAGGTTAGCAGTTCAAAACCACTGGTTGTTCCATGAGGGAAAGATGAGGCTTTCTCCTCCCATACAGAGTTACAGTCTTGGAAACCCACAGAGGCAGTTCTACCCTGTCTTATAGGGTCACTATGAGTCAGAATTGACTTAATGGCAGGGTTTGTTTGTTTTTAATCCCTCCCTTACCTTGTTTTATTATCTGCAAAAAGTGCTGGAATAAGGTTTTTCAAATTGGAGAAGACCTTAGAAATTACCTGGCCACACAATGTATACTTGTTAGTTCACTTGGTTCAGCAGGTGGTCACCTCCACTAGGCTTAGAGACTTTCTCCCTCTTGAAGGTGAAGCTTGCAGAAGGAAGCTTGTTTTATTTATTGTTAGATACATTTGGATTAGAAGATTTTTCTTAGATTGGCTCAGTTGTCTCCCTCTAACTCCTCTATGGGTCTGTTGCTCGTGAGGTTTGCCACCTGGAGAAAAGCGCGTTAAGCGCCCTGCCCCACATTCACGTGGGTGTCCTTGTTTGTTTACAAACTGTTAGCATTACTTCTCTGTTCCATGAGTTGTCCCTCTTAACATTCAATTTTTCAAAACTCATAATCTCTTATAGTTGTCATGTATTTCTCAACGATTGGTCCTTAGGGTAGAGCACATAATCTCAGACCAGAATAAGACAACAGTGATTTGGCAATGCTATTTTTAGTAATAGGATTGGCTGCACTGTTGACCTATATTGAACTTGTAACTGCTTGATTCACTAGATTACTATTTTATTTTTGTGGCCTCTCCAATTATTTTTTTCTTCCTTCCTATTAGAGTACTCTGAAGTTATTGATTTTAAACTCAAGATTATTACACTTAACCTTTCTTAAGTTACATTTCAATAAATCTAGCTGTTTCCCCTCCGTGTAAAAGTATCTAATAATTCACTTGCTACTTATCTTTTGCAAAATTTCTTTAAGCTTGGACTTCTTTGACTCATATTTGATAAATATCTTCTCTTCTGTCGTCTAAAGAATGCATGAACCTCTAAAGATGACATAGTGCTGAACAAAAATAATTCCCTCGACGCTTCTTTCCAGACTGGTTCTTCAGGTAGATCAGAAGTGGTAAAGTAACAGTGACCTTGGTGACTGTAGCATTGCGTTGTGGAGTCAGCTCATACTCATAGCCACCTGTGTGTACAACAGAGTGACGCTGCTGGATCCCGCAGTCCTCACACTGGTCTTACGTGTGAGCCCGTTGTTGCAGCCCTGGTCTCAGACCGTCTTAAGGGCCTTTTTGCTGCCCCTCTGCTTTACCAAGTGTGCTTCCTTTCCCAGTGACTGTCCCTCCTGATAATTAATGGCCTGAAGTCTCGCCAACCTGCCTCTAAGGAGCGAGCATTCATCTGGCTGTACTTGATCTAAGACAGCTTTTGTTCTTTGGCAGTCCATGATTCTTTCAATATTCTTTGCCGGCACTATAATTCAAATACATTAATTGTTTCTACAGTCTTCCTTATTCAATTTTCACGTGCATATGGCATGATTTTTGAATCAGATATACCTTAGTCTTCAAAGTAACAAACATGCTACTCAATACTTTTTTTTTTCTTTTTTAACATTTTATTAGGGGCTCATACAACTGTTATCCCAATCCATACACACAGCAATTGTGTAAAGCGCATTTGTACATCGTTTCTCAAAACATTTTCTCTCCATTTAAACCCCCGACATTAGGTCCTCATTTTTCCCCTCCCTCCCCGCTCCCCCCTCCCGCATGAGCCCTTGATAGTTTATAAATGGGTATTTTGTCATATCTTGCCCTATCCGACGTCTCCCTTCATCCACTTTTCAGTTGTCTGTCCCCCAGGGAGGAGGTCACACACAGTTCCATGTAATCGGTTCTCTCTTTCTACCCATTCTCCCTTTACCCTCCCTGTTTTGCCACTCACACCACTGGTCCTATAGGGCTCATCCATCCTGGATTCCCTGTATTTTCAGTTCCTATCTGTACCAGTGTACCTCCTCTGGTCTAGCCAGACTTGCAAGATCGAATTCGAGTCATGGTAGTGGGAGCGGGGAGGAAACATTTAGGAACTAGAGGAAAGTTGTATTTCTCATCATTGTTACATCGCACCCTGACTGGCTCATCTCCTCCCCGAGACCCCTCTGCAAGGGGATCTCCAGTGGCCTACTAATGGGCTTTGGATCTCCACTCCGCACTCCCCCCATCATTCACTATGGTAAGATTTTTTGTACTACTCAATACTTTAAAGAGGTCTCGTGCAGCCGATTATTCCATGCAGTCATTATTTGATCTCTTGACTGCTGCTTCATTGTGGATTGATTGTGGATCTTAGCAATACAAAATCCTTGGTAACTTCAGTTTTTCTCTGCTTACCATGGTGTTGTCTATTGGTCCAATTGTAAGGATTTTGGTTTTCTTTATGTAATCCATACTGAAGGCTGCAATCCTTGATCATCACCAGCAAGTACGTTAAGTCCTCACTTTCAGCAAGCAAGGTTCTGTCATTTGCTTGTTGTTAATAGACCTTATGCCAATCCTGATGCCATGTTCTTCATCTGACCCAGCTTCTCTGATGATTTACTCATCATACAAAGTGAATAAGTATGGTGAGAGGATGCAACCATAACATGCACCTTTCCTGATTTTAAACCGTACAATATTCCCTTGTTCCATCTGCACAGCTAACTCTTGATCCTTGTTCAGGTTCCACATCCGCACAACGAAGTGTTTTGGAATTCTCGTTTTTCTCAAGGCTATCCATGGTTTGTTCTTGTCCACATAGTCCAATACCTTTGTATAGTCAATAGGACACAAGTAAACACCTTTCTGGTAGTCTCTACTTTCAGCCTAGTTCCATCTGACATCAGCAATGATGTCCCTTGTTCCACATCCTCTTCTGAATCCAGCCTGAGCCTCTGGAAGCTCCCTCTCAATATATTATTTCAACCATTGTTGGATGATTTTCAGCACTTTTACTTGCATGTGATATCAAGGATATTGTTCTATAATTTGAGAATTATGTTCTATAATTTATTGGGGTCACCTTTCTTTGGAATGAGTACAAATAGGAATCTCTTCTAGTCAGTTGACCAAATAGCTGTCTTCCAAATTTCCTGGCATAGATGAATGAGTACTTCCAGTGCTTTATCAGTTTTTTGAAACATTTCAATTTCTAGTCCATCAATTATTGGAGCCTTATTTTTGACTAATCCTTTTTTTCAGTACAGCTTCAATTTCTCCACTCAGTACCATTGGTTCTTGATCATATGCTACCTCGTGAAATGACTGAATATCGACTACCGTATATACTTGTGTAAAAGCCGAGTTTTTCAGCACATTAAAAAAAATCATTTTACTGGGGGTTCTTACAACTCTTATCACAATCCATACATACATCCACTGTGTCAAGCACTTTTGTACATATGTTTCGCTCATCATTCTCAAAACATTTGCTTTCTACTTGAGCCCTTGGTAACAGCTCCTCATTTTTTCCCCTCCTTCCCTGTTCCCCACTCCCCCATAAACCCTTGGTAATTTATAAATTATTATTATTTTGTCATATCTTACACCATCCGATGTCTCTCTTCACCCACTTCTCTACTGTCCATCCACCAGGGATGAGGTTATATGTAGATCCTTGTAATCTATTCCCCTTTCTCCCTCACCTTCCCACCACCCTTCTGGTATCGCCAGTCTCACCACTGATCCTGAGGGGGTTCATCTGTCCTGGATTCCCTGTGTTTCCAGTTCCTATCTGTACCAGTGTACATCCTCCAGTTCAGCCGGATTTGTAAGGTAATATTGGGATCATGATAGTGGCGGGGAGGAAGCTTTCAAGAACTAGAGAAAAATTGTATGTTTCATCATTGCTACACTGCACCCTGACAGGCTTGTCTCCTCCCCGCGGCCTTTCTGCAAGGGGATGTCCAATTGCCCACCACGGTCTTTCTGCAAGGGGATGTCCAGTTGCCCACAGATGGGTCCTGGGTCCCCACTCCACACTCCTCCTCATTCATAATGCTAGGATTTTTTTGTTCTTTGATTCCTGCAAACTGATCCCTTCAATGCCTCGTGATCTCACAGGCTGGTGTGCTTCTTCATTGTGGGCTTTGTTATTTCTCAGTTAGATGGCCGCTTGTTTATCTTCAAGTCTCTAGGACACCAGATGCTATATCTTTTGATAGCCAGGCACCATCAGCTTTCTTCACCACATTTGCTTATGCACCCACTTTGTCTTCAGTGATCATGTTGGGATAGGCTGGTATTCGGCACATGTTTAAATGCAGTTCTTGTGGTAAAATTAGGTGCCTCGGCTGATACTCAGGTTGACTTACATTCAAATATATATGGTAGTTCTTTTTGGTACAGTGGCTCTATTCTTTCCATCTTCTTTTGATACTTCTGCATCATTCAATATTTTGCCTACAGAATCTTTCAATATTGTAACTCGAGGCGTGAATTCTTTCTTGAGTTCTTCAGTTTAAGATATGCTGGGTATGTTCTTCCTTTTTGATAATCTAATTCTAAATCTTCACACATTTCTTTATAATTTTTTACACTATGATAGAGATAAATCCACAAGCTACCAATATACTTACTCAAAAAAGAAATATAATTTTCTCTTTTGATTTTTAGTAATGAAATCTCAGTTCTCTGTATTCTCTTTTTACTGTTCACCTTGAATTGTCTAAAAAGAGTTTCCTCCAGATAGGTGGAAAAAGTATTAGTATACTTTCTTTCCTTTTGATTATCAGCACACTGTATTTCTTCTGTCTCCTTTCCCATACATAATTGGATTTCTCAGAGATTCAAGAAATAACAAACTCAAGAGAAAATTACATTTCTTTTTTTGAGTAGTGTGTTAATCCAGGTACACTAGAGAAACAAATCCATAGAAACCCATATAAAAGAGAGTTTTATATGAAGTGTAATTATACATTAAGAAGCATCTCAACCCAGTCCAGTCAAAGCCCATTAAGTTTGATATTAGCCCATATGTCCGATACCAATCTTTAAAGCCCTCTTCAGACTCACAACGCACATATAGTGATGCCAAATGCAGGAAGATCACAGGCCAGTGGGCAGCAAGTCTTTGGGTCCAGTGGCATTGTAAGTATCTCAGCGCTGGCAGGGGTCTCTACGTGGCTCCTCCGGCCTCAGAGGTCTGAGTGCATCAGGGTAGTCTGTGGCTTTTCCAGCTCAGGGCACTAGCACAGTTCCATGTGTCTTGTAGCTGCAATGTGTCCCAGAGAGTGAGCAGAGAGAGAGGTGTCTCCCGCTTCCAAGGAGGAAATAATAGGTGTTCCCAGAATTCTCAGGAGAAGGCTATGCCCACACAAAGGTCTCATTTGTTATATCTTGATTGACAGGCCAGATTCCACCCCTCCACATGTAATCCTCTCAGATTGACACCAGATTACGGAACTACCACAGTGGTAGCTCATGGAATTTACTTAGCCATACTGTAAAATATTATAGTGAAATGTGCAAAGACCTACAGTTAGACAATCAAAACGGAAGAACACCCTCAATAGATCTTAAAGCATGGGTTACAACAAAAGTGAAGTTGTATAAAACGAACTGGCATTGGATTCTGAGGCCCTTGAATAAGTACAGTAGTCCAGTCTTTGTTCGTGAGTCATCGGGAGGGGACATCTGCAAGGTTTTTTGTTTGTTTGTTTCTTAAAAACCTTTTTCTCCAGGGAGCAGGGCCTGTTTAATAAAGTTTCAATTGTTTTATAGAAAATGCTTTTTTTCTTACCCTCATATAATATGAATTCAAAGGCTAGAACAACAAATAGGATCTCAGGTAGTTAGAAGATAAATATTAATGGAGTAAACCTTAACTAACGGTAGGATTTGGATGAAGAGGCAAGTTATATTAACAGAAGGAATAAATTGGTTTTGCTTATTACGGAACTAACAAAGCCATTTGTTAAGTAATGATTAAGAATCATTTATAGTTGGATAAATAGAATAATGCCAAATTATGGAGGATCTTAAAAAAATACTGATTTTCAAGTTTATTAATTCTAGTGGTTATCATTGTAACAAAAAAGTAAAGACATACGCACCTATGTAATACTTTTATGCATGATCATATCTTGATGTGCACTAAATGTCACAAATATTTTTGTATAATAAAGCTGTTTTTTTTTTGTAGGTCAACTTTCTTTCTATGATGCAAACTCTAAACAATTGTTGTATTCCTTTAAGACCAAATTTACTCAGCCAGTGTTACCCGGTTTCATGGTTAGTACCTATTTTGCATTCGATTTTGTGTAATAACTTTAATGAGAATAATTTGTACTGTATATTGAGGGAAGTAGGGGATCTTATTTTCTGTCACATTTCTCTCCTTTATCCATCTTAACCTAAACCTACAATAAACTTTGTATTTTTACATAAAGTTTAAGTAACTATCAATACATAAAATCTTCTGGAGTATAATGAATGCATGCCAGATCTATCCATGCTTTTGCATTTTATCGGTATTCCTTTACTTTGTATTGCTGGGTAGGGTTCTGTCCTGAAGTGCTAGCCAAAAAGGTCAGTGATTCAAATCCACTAGCTGCACTGTGTGAGAAAATCTGTTCTTATAAAGACTACAGCCAAGTGTGAGGCTGCTCTGCCACGTCTGATCGCTCCGAGTCAGAATTGACAGGATGGAATACAACAAAAGCAGTAGTGTGTTATATGTGATGCATGTTGTTGTGAGGGCCATAACAACCCTCTGCACAGCAGGGTGACACGCCGCCCGGTCTTCCTCCATCCTCACAATTGTCCTGTGTTTGAGATCATTGTTGCACTTCATATATGTATGCACTGTCATCTATTCAGCTAGTTATCAGTTGAAGGCCATTTGAGTTGTTTCCACTTGTAGGTAATTATTAATAAAACTACTATAAACATCCACTTGTAGATTTTTGTTTGAATGTAAGTTTTCACTTCTTTTAGATACCTGTCCTATGAGTGGGATTGCGTACGTTTATAGTTGAGTGAATGTTTATGAGACATCGCTAAACTATTTTCCAAGGTGATTGTACAATTTTTTAATTTTTGTCAACATTATATGAGAATGCACACAAAAAAGAGAGAGAGAGACTTCACCACGTCCTTGCCATTACTTGGAATTACCATGTTTTGTTGTTATAGAGCCATTTTAATAAGCCTGTATTTAATTGGTTTTCATTTTTATTTTTCTAATGTTTTATGATGTTGGACATTTTTACATGAACTAATTACCATTTATTTGTATTATTCCTTTGATGAAATAATTATTGAAATCTGTTGTGCCTGTTTTTACTGTTTTTTTTTCTATTTTGAATTTTAAGAGTTCTGTATACATTCCATGTGTGAGCGCTTTATCAGATATTTGTTTTGCAAATATTTTCTCCCAGTCAGTGTCTTGCCTTCATTTTCTGAATAGCCTTTCCATTTGGACAAATTCCAGTTTATCTTTTTTTTTCTTTCATGGATCGTGCTTTGTTAACTAGGGAGGCCAGAGACCTTCTAGAAATTTTTCAGTTCAGGCCTTACATTTAAGTCTGTGATTCATTTTGAGGCCATTTTATATGAGGTATGGTGTGCAGTCCATTTCTCACACATTTGGTTGCTAATTGTTGCAATACCATTTATTTAAAAATTACTCTCTTCTTGATTGATGAGCTTTTTAACTGTTTTGTTAGATAGTAAGTGTAAAATGTTTACAGAATCATTTAATTTAAAAATGATTTGTTTTAAAACTAGGGTGTTGCTTATATATGTTAGGAGTAAGCCTCTTTATTTTGAAAATTTAGAGTAACAATGATAAAGCTGTAAATTTCACAGGCCAATTGATTCTTAGGATACTCTAGTTATATAGTAAATATTGAACACGGATAATTGAAGGTAGGAATACTAAGTCATTTCTAGAATCTTCCTTGCTTTCAGCAGTTCTCAACCTGTGGGTTGCGACCCCTTTGAGGGTCGAAGGACCCTTTCACAGGGGTCACCCAAATCATAACAGTAGAAAAATGACAAGTGATGAAGTAGCAATGAAAATAACGTTATGGTTGGGGGTCACCACAACATGAGGAACTGGATTAAAGGGTTGCAGCATGAGAAAAGTTGAGAACCACTGATATTTACATGGCAGTGGATCTGTCTTCATACCTTAATTCTTCTTGACTCGGTTACACATTCACAAGCAAAGCAACTTTATAAACTTTTCGACATTTGTAATAATTAATAGAATATGACGAGTTCATCAGTACATTTACATTTGAACTTTTCCCAAAAGCCTTTCTTAGCAAGTTAGGGAAGAAACAGCACTTGAAGTGGACTTGATTACAGAGGGATCTCTGAGTCATGTTAGTCTCAGGTGACCAAACCGGAAGCCACACTTGGGCTAGGAGTTCTCTCCTGGTTGTAAAGATCAGAGTCAGTAAGGACTGCTTCGCTTGGATTCTCCAAGTGTCTGAAGCGTTGAGTTTCCTCTCTCACGTGTAACCCCTGTGCGTCATTTATGTTCCCACAAAGACTCCTCTGGTCTCTGTGTTTCTCTGGGAATCTGAGTTCACTTGTTCCCTTCCCTCAGCCCAAATAAGAAGGTGATCAGTTTGGAGAAATGTTGCCTTTCCACTGGAGACTTAAAAAACCCTGCAGTTTGAATTTACTTTGAAATCTGACTGCAGCTTTGTTTTTGTCTCTTGTTAGGTGTGGTGTGGTGGACTTTCTTTGAATACTGGGCTGCAGGTTCCAAGTGCTGTGAGAACGCTGCAGAAAAGTGAAAATGGAATGACCGGGTCGGCTAGCAGCCTGAACAACGTCCCTCAGTAGTGACGGCGCAGGGTCGGTCTACCCATCTTACGGTACATCACGGAAACGGACCAGTGGGGCAAACCAGGCCTGCTCCCTTCTGCTGTAAGGCCTGGAATCTGGTCAGATCACGCCTCTAATGCGAAGCATTCATAGAACCTTCCCATGCAGTCCCATAGCAGCAAGCAGACATCAGGCAAGACACTGACATTGTGAAGAAGAAATGGAAGAGGAAAGGCAGTATTTCAATATTTATATAGAAGCTCACTGTGGAGGGGGCGGTGTTTCTGGGATTATTTTGTGCCCCAGCTCTTCTGTATGTTTAATTACAGTGGCAACTATAGGACCTGGAGTAGACAGCTTTGAAGTCTTCCTTTATGTTCCTTGTGCTTTATTTTTTCATGTCATAACCACATTATTTTGTCCTTTCACTGAAGCTTTAAAAATATGTAATCCTCTAAAGTCTTTTTTTTAATTGGGAACATTAGTTGGTGAAGCTAGAAAAGTGTTTTTTTTTTCTTGTAATAGTTTATTTTTCCTTTTATAAATATGTTGAATTGGTTGGTTAAATTATCACTTTTGTTTATTGACTACATTGTATATCATTTTCTCTTTTCCAAAAGAGTATATTTCTCTATGGTTATACCTCAAAATAGGAGATTGGGAGAGTTTCTAAATCGAATCATGTCAGTCCCTCCCTGTTGAGTTTCTTCCACCTGACAGCAATGCTACAGAGCAGGCTGGCACTGCCCTGCACGTTCGTCCCCAGGCTCTTGTCTTCAGGGAAGCCCATGGCCCCATCTTTGTCCTGGGGAGCAGCTGGTGGGTTCAAACCCCTGAGCTTTCACGTAACAACTGAGCACTTAAGCCTTGTGCCACCAGGATCTCCGGCATTTCCATTCTGTACCCATTACTCGAATACACGGACAAAAGGATATTCTCTGTCTGTTTCTCTGCTTAATTAGACTGCTTTCCATTCAGTCACGTTAGGTGACGTGTACTATTTTTCAAAGCCTTATAGTTCCTGACCTTGTTATCTAGTTTAACCCTACTTTAAATAATCATCTTGATAGAATTTCCAGTTGAATTTGGTAAGTGCTGGTAATAATTGTACCGATTTTAAACATTTTTTAGTAGGAGTAAAATTTTATTAAAGTTACATTGAAGACCAAAAAAAATCCATCATGTTTACCCTTTTATCTAAGAAAAGTAGGTTATTAAGGGAGGTACTTAAAAGTATTCTTCAGTGAAGTAATTTACATCTGATTTTAATAAGATGTAAAACGGCTTATATACTTGTTTAGGGGAAAAACAAACACATTCCTGACTGAGTTGGCCCAAATGTTGTCCAAGCATAAGCCTTTGGAGCTTATTTTCTTTCCCTTTTTTAATTACATTCATTTGCTTTATAAAGGGTTGTGAATCTTTCAGTAATCAATACAAAATAATCTTTCTCAAACTAGGGGAAAATGTGTTAAGCTGTTACTGAAAACTGAGCTTAGTGAGCAAGCATATCTTTTCTAACAACATGGATTAAAATCTGTAGCACAAATCCTAAAAGGCAAACAGAAAGTGGTTAATTTCAGTATTTAATAATTCCGTGAGCATTTTTAAGAAGGCTGAATTTTTATTTTCCTTAATCTTGAAACTCTTAATTCCCTTTGCTTTCATTTCTATTTCAAATGCCTTGTGCTATAATGACCTTCTTTCAAGAAGTGGCTGATGCTGCTGACATTTGACTTGCCTTCTACTGCAAGGCTTCTGGATTAGTAATAGCTCATTCTGTCTTCAAGGTTACTGCTTACTGATCATATGTTGTGTTCCATTGGTAAAAGAAATTTAAATGGGAACTCTTCCAAAGGAAGTTTTATCTGCACTATTTTTTTATAACTAGAGCCCTGGTGATGTAGTGGGTTATACGCTGGACTGCTCACTACAAGGCCAGCAGTTTGAAGCCACCAGCCGCTCCAAGAGAGAGAGAGACGAGGCTTTCTCCTCTTGGAAAAATTTAGTCTCCGGAGCTCATAGGGGCAGTTCTACTCTGTCTTGTAGTTTTGCTATGAGTTGGAATCAACTCAACGGCAGTTTACAGAATAAAAGATGTCAATACATAATCTTTTAATTCCCAAACATAATTTTGATTTTTGTTCTTCACAGAGAATTTTGAAATTTCTGTATGTTCTGTTCTCTGTAGTAGGATTATTGTACAATCAAAAGAAGCAGGAACTTGCCATCCTTTTTGTAGAAACCGTAGGTTAGTGGGTAAGCTGCTTTATGTGAACCCCTACACAGTATATTTTAGCAACCACGACACAGAAAAAGCCAGAAACTCTTATATACGTTTTTTATGATTATGTCTTATATTTTAGAAATGTGTCTTTTGATTAATTCAGTGCCTTCTTCCCCTAAGCCTGCTCTTGTTCCATACCCAGGCAGTGTCAACTGGTATTGAAGCCAGAAAGCATTGTTCCCCGCCAGGGCTCGACGCAGAGGGCTGGGGGCAGTATTAATCGGGCGGAGGGGTGCAAATGACTCTGACTTGTGCTCATGCCAGCCATCATTCGAGACCCTTCATACGGCATTTTCTCATAGTCGTTTGGAAAGCGTATTAATCTCACTAGGGAAGTTTTCTTTCTTAACGTTTTTTTAGTAATAAATACATTTATTCATCCAGCCTTCAAGTTCTTAACACATGGGGTCCTTATTATTAAATTATACTTTTACTTCAAATTGAGAATCTGAGATCTTTCTCAGACTGTGCTTCTCCCTAAAGATCTCTAAAGAACAAGATGCGTGGGGTTAGTTTCTGTTTGCTTGCTTGTTTTAAGTTTATCTGTTAAGTTAAACTAGAGAAAGTTTTTCATCCTCATTTTTAAACTGGAAAGTAATTGTATTGCCTATTTAAGACATCTCTACATAGGGTAGCTGTTAACTTGACCATAACACATAACATCTCATTGACATTTGAATTAAATATACAAGTAATGGGCTCTTTTGTGGTATTTAATACATTGTAAAAAATAGATGTACCCTTTATTTTTTTATTGCTTAATTTGCTCTGTTTTGACAGGTCAAACATGATTGCTTTCTACAAAGGAAATGCATGAGCGATTGACTCGTAGGGATGTGTGACAAGTGTAAAAATTATCTTTGCTAAACCCATGCATTTAGTATTGCATTTTTCTTTTAAGAGTGAGTTCCAAACCAGTTTTGCTAAACTGGATACAGAAAAGAAGGAGCTGCCTTAAGCACTTTAGTAAAAGAAGTTTTTAAATTTCATTTGAACTTTTTGGGCTGATCCTATCTTTAGCTTGGCATATGTGTGTACCAAGCATTTCACAACTGAATGCATGTAGTGACTCATTGTAAATTGACTCTTTGTATGTTCCCGGTGTTAGATTAAACAGAGTGAAAGTATTAGGGGCATGCCTCTGTGAACATAGGCTTCATGGGCGGCATGTATGCCATGTTGATAAAACAGTTGGACGCGGCCTACTGCGTACTCTATTCTTCAAACAATAATCCCCCCTAGGTTTTCATCTAAAGAGGCGTATTGCTTTGCTTTTGTTTACTTTTGTGTAAAACTAAAACATGAATGGTATAGGTAATTTCATTGTATTGTGATTGACTCTTGGTGGTATACATAAAATATTTTGACACACATAACATGGGTATTACCCCTCTTTTCTCTCCAGAGGTATTTTCATATTTTCATAAGCATGCTATCCTAATATTTTTTAAAACTTGTTAAAACATTTGCATAGCATGCTTATGAAAATACCTAGGGGGAGGGTTCAGTTGGCAAAAATAAAGCAAAACCGTAACAAAGCATGTTTTTGTGTGAAAATATGGTAATAAAAATAATAGAATCTTTTAATTAGGCTGATACTCTATTTCACGACTTTACTCCCATGTTTGGTTTTACCTTACATACTTTAGTTTGGAAAAGGCTATATGTGGAAAATGTTTATTTCAAAGAGTTAGGTATTTCAAAGAGGAGAGAGTAGACGTAGTCGTAACATGTGTGGTGCCATACTAAAAAAATGGGAGCCTGTGTTTCCAGGTGATCAGTGATTCTTAAGAAAAGAAATGTAAGAGCAGTGTTCATTCGTGGCTAATTCAAACAATTATTTGATTGTAATGTGGCAGTCGAAACTTGATGACTCTGTATTCAGCTTTCCCCAACTAGTGAAGTCCGACTGAACGTGTGGGTAATTTTGCTGCTGCTGAGTGTTGTGACGAAGTTTGGGTCTTAACAATAATGTTCTGTTAATAAGTCACAAGTTTAGAAGATTACCTTTGTTACGGCTTTTTTTAAAATTTCTAATGAACTGGATATATACCGTGGTTCCCTTTTATACAGTCATCTAAAATTAGGTGTGCAAAAACTTCTCCCCTGACTTTATTTTTATATTGAATGTGATCTCTTAAGTACGTGTATGTAAGCATAGATGTGTAATAATAGTTATTTCAGTTATTTGTAGCTCAGATTGTCAGTTCATAATATGAGCACTGGATATGATAGAAGATCATGAATGTTTTTGTAATCGCCACAGAAAGATTACCTCCAATTCAGAAGAGCTTTAGATTGGTGTCCATTTTCAAAGTATTCCCATTATAAAATATTTGTGATCTTGATATGGCCCTTTTAAAGGTTTGTTACCGGAAATATTTGATTAGCCTACATGCTTAAGAACTTTGAGTACACTAGAGACTGAATAGGTAACATTTGATGTGTATTTTCATAAATTTTGGCTAATAAATCAGTACCCAAAATTGCTTTAGTCCTTTTTTCCAGACTATCCATTTATTAAACTGAGACAGTATTTGTTATTTCGGGATCAATATAAGGTACTGACATTGGAATCAAAATTATTTAAGCTCTGTTAGTTTAAGCTGATGTGTTTTCTTAATGATACCTGTTCAATGTGAGCGGTTCCTTGGGAATGGACAGGCAGAGGATTCCGCAGTATGTAAGGCAGAAGGTAGGTGAATGTGTTTGCTTTGGCTTGGAGCTTGTTAAGTTTATACCAATTGTTAAGTGGTTGAGCAAAGGCATTTTTACTAGTATTAGAAAATTTGGGAGAACAAAGGCTTATGGAATGCATTTTTTCCCTCACATTTCCAGTATCTGAGGTACCAAAGCTATGAGTCTAATTTATCTTCAAAATAAAATTGATGACTAATTCATGTTATATGTAATAGCTAAATTAAAAAAAAATTCTATTGAAAGCCACTAGCCTTTAAAAACTTGATATGAAAGGATTTGCTTCATCTTTCTTAAAGTACTTAAAATTAATGACCTTCACTCTATCATGTACTAGAGTTATTACTGCTATATACCCTTTTGCCTTATAAAATAATTGTAATCCACTTAGCCTACCTCACAGGGCTGTTGTGAGGAGCAAAATGAAATGGAGAGTAAGAAATTGCTTTAAAAAACAATAAAGTGCTATGTACATATAAAGTGTTACTTTTAGTTAACAACAGGCTTAAGTGTTTGGATACTTCTACATGTCCTTTACTTTGATAAAGCATATACTTAAACATGGTATCACCAGTGATTTCAAACACCAAACAAAAGAACTTGTGAACAACTTAAATAAACAGAATTGAAAATTTCCAATTAAAATGCCTTTTAACATTCATTTAGTTTGTGCATGGCCTGTGACCTTTTTGTATTACCTCACCAAGCCTGTATTCCTGTAACGAGAGCCATTCGAGCAGTAGAATGTCTCCCGTAGCATTTGCTTGTCAGAGTGGAACTGGAGCATAAATAAACAGTTGAATTAAACAGTGTCTCTATCCGTGCATTTACACGCTCAATTTAGGACTGCCACGAGCCACAGGAAAGATGGAATTTGGCCAGTATAATTTTATCCAGACCACCAAGTGGTTCAGCAATTTGTAGTCATTGGATAAATGACACTAAGGTGTGCTGTCTGAAATCTGACAACGGCTTTGCTTTGTCATTTTAAATAAGATGAAGCATTTTAAGTCTTGTTAGTTAACCTGGATATCATTTAGCATCTCTCCTGACATTTGTTTTGGTTTACAATTTACTGTATAAATGACGTACAGGTTCTTTTCACCTATACACTACTTCATATGTCTAATATTTGGACATGGTTTGCTATGCAGTTCTGATCATGAAAATTTTAATCCCTCAGGTTTTACCTTTTAAGTTATCAACTACTTGTGACGAGCTTAGTGCTGTAAAAATATTATTTTTATATGCACACTGACTCATTTCCTTTAACCATACAGAGCCTTTTTGAATCTTAAATTAGGGAATATTCAGAGTAATCTGTACACTGAGATGACTATATGTTCTGTATAGATGGACTGAGTTAACTTTTATGAAAGCTCCTGAATGTGTCAGCTACGAATTAAACTTTTTTTCTGCTTTTGCTTCATTGCTTGCATTTATCACCTCCTTTACTGAATATCTACAATGTGGATGGGGAAGAGACAAAGCTTATACTTTATAGAGTAGCACTGTTCAACAGACTTCTATGCAAGGATGAAAGTTCTCTATCTATACTGTCTTAATAGCATAGCCATAAACCTTGAGAAGCCATTGAACACTTTGAATGTGGCTAATGTGACTAAGAAACTCAATTTTTATTTTAAGTAATTTATAGAATTACATGTAGCCAATAACTACTGTCTTCAATAGTGCAACTATGGATAGAAATATGCTGTAACTATAATAAATTAGGAACTTACTTTCTGGTTGTCTTTTTAAATCATTTTATTGGGGGCTCGTACAACTCATCACAATCCATACATACATATATTGTGTCAAGCACATTTGTACATTTGTTGCCGTCATCATCCTCAAAACATTTGCTTTCTACTTGAGCCCTTGATATCAGCTCTTCATTTTTCCCCCTCCCTCACAAACCCTTGATAATTTATAAATTATTATTTTCTTATGTCTTAACACTTCCCGACATCTCCCTTCACCCACTTTTCTGTTGTCCGTCCCCCAGGGAGGGAGTTACATATAGATCCTTGTAATTGGTTCACCGTTTCTACCCCACCTTCCCCTTCCCCTTCTGGTATCACTACTGATTAGTGGTCCTGTGGGGTTTATCTATCCTGGATTCCCTGTGTTTCCAGCTCTTACCTGTACCAGGGTATATCCTCTGGTCTAGCCAGATTTGTAAGGTAGAATTGGGATCATGATGGGGGTGGGGTAGGGGGGTGGAGGAAGCATTTAGGAACTAGAGGAAAGTTGTATGTTTCATCGTTGCTACACTGCACCCTGACTGGCTCATCTCCTCCCAGGGACCCTTCCGTAAGGGGATGTCCAATTGCCTACAGATGGGTTACATTCCCCCTCATTCACAATGATATGACTTTTTTGTTTTGGCTTGTCACATGTTGGTTTATATTTTGGTAAATGGTAGCTAAAAGTCATAATTAGGACCCAAGTCCTTTTAAATTACATGTGTATTCTAACAACACCAATGTAAGAAAAACGTGGTCAGTGACTACATGAGGCTGGAGCTCTTTCAACTAAGATCATTTTCATTAAAACAAGAATGGAGCTTGGACAGTCGTGAGTTATAAGGAGAATCATGTGGCAAAGATGTTGAGAAACCAGAATCCTCACATAGGAGATGGAGTGTGAATGCAATGCAACATTGCTGGAGAACAATTAATTTAGCACTATCGAGATTTTAAATAAAGACTGCCTTGGAAAATTAATTCCATTTCTGGGCATTTCTTTCACATGGGTACTTAGAAGCAAGCCAATATTTACTGGTTTTGTTTAGGATAGCAAAATATAAACAACCTAATTCACTAAAATCTGGAAAGCAAAAAAATAAAAATAAAAAAAATTTAATCTGATAGCCCGTAAGTCAAAATCTTGCCGTTCTGTGGTAACTAGGCAGAGAACTGACAACAGACACACGTTGTCTCAGACAATGAGAAAACTAATAAGAGCTACCATTGCTGTGTTGTCTAGATAGATTCTGCCTTCCCCTTATAAATGTTAGCAATATGCAGACCATTATAGAAGTTGGGTTTCTCAGATAGAGCCCTTTGCTTTGTATTACCTACCACTCATGCTATTCCCTGCGGCCGTGAGACCCCTCTGGGTGTAGAACTCAGGAAATTGCATTTTGCTGCTCCTCTGTAAATTTTTCCTTTACAAAGCCCAATTTTACCTTTAAACTGCCTAGCAGTATTGGTATGCATATGCCCCTTTGGAACGCTGTGGCAGGTGGTGATTAGATTATGGAGCTGGCAGGTAACACTGGGAAAGGATGAGCTCTTCATGGAACAGTGCTCCCTGACATTGAATGGAAAAAGCAAGTTGTTCAACAATAGATACAGTATGATTCCAGTGTGCTTGGGCAAGAAGGGCGCCTACCCTGACCCCCTTCTCTGGGTTTTCAGCTCACATGTATTGACTAACCACATGGGCGCATATTGACTGATGTTTACAGTGTGCTGTGGCCTTCTGTATCAGCACTGTTAGCACCAGCTGTTATGTTTACACGGAGTCAGTTGTTTGTCCTCAAACCTGCTTAGGCCAGTGGCAATCATAGTATACATTTCCAATTTAACTATTTGTTAGTCAAAGGAATAGGAAAGCGTAGACAACATCACAGAGAAGCAGGTAAAATAAAAGTTGCCGACAAATTGTGTCTAAGATAACCACATGACGGGGAGGATTGCTAAAAATGAAGAAAACCTAGGGTTTCAAGTTCTGGTTCCTTTGCTTACATGTTTCAGCTCTCGGTCCACAGCAACAGAAATTAAAGTATAGGTGATAAGTTATGTTTGTGGTTTATGAAATAAAGCAACTCCCATTGACCTATACTTAAAAAGACCTAAGGTTCAAAAAGACTGGCCTGGGTAGTCCTCTCCAACTGCACTTCAAATGTTTATATGAAAAGTATTTATTTCTAAGAATATAATATTTATTACTTTTTCCCATGACCATTTTCAAACATTCAGAAGAATAGGCTATTCTAATGAAAAAGTATACCCATCACCCAGACATATCAGTTAATATTTTCTCATATTCTCATCATGTATTTTCAGAATTGACTCTGGCACACTACAACCTTTTTTCTTCAGGTCCCCCCCACCCCAACTGTTAAGTATTGCATTATTCATCACTGATGGCTTTATTTAGACACAAACACATTGCTAGCATTCTTTGTAAATTAACAGTAATTCCATAATATCAATTCAATAATATAAAAATGTCTTATAATTGGTTGGTTCCAATCCATATTAGGTCTACACATTAGATTTGGTAGTTGTGCCTCTTAAGTCTCTTTATAATAGTCTCCTTTTTTTAAAAAAAGCCACTGATTATTTTAGAGAAACTAGAGCATTTGTTTTAGAGAATTTCCCACATTCTGAATTTAACCAAGGTTTTTTCATAATGTCTTGCTTTTCTCCCTATATTACTAGACAGTTTTGACTGAATCTGTTTTTAGACACAAGTCCTTCACAGGAGGTATTATGTACTTTATATTATATGACATCAGGAAATCGTGTTTGGGCTGTCGGAGACAAGGATAGTAAAGTTTGGTCGGTGAGTTCAGGTGGTACTAGCCCAATTCCTCCATTTAAAGTTTCCTATCAACCTTTCACTGTATTTTAGTGTCTACTGATGGTGGCTGTCCCGTGACTTCACTAGGGGTTGCAAAATGGTGATTGTGCTATCATTCTGCATTTATTAACAAATTCCATTAGCATTTTTATTACCCCAAATGAATCCATGAAAGAAAGGCGAGATAAGTTTTGGCACAAGTTAGTGCTCTGACATCATTCAGCCATAGTCACTGAGTTTTATATAAAGGACCATTATGAACTGGATCATTTTAATGTATTTCTTTAAAATCAATCTTGGTGCCCCCAATTTTCCTTATCAGATCGATCAAGTTAGCATCTTTGTCCAATGACTTCATTGTTTCTCGAAAGCTCCTATATTCTCTGCTAAGGGGATGCTAGGAACTATTTTTGCACAAAGTACTTCACATTACAGTAACTTTTAAAAAATCACATCAAAATCAATTCGTAATGACCCTTAATGATCTTCTGGATTATGCTGTTACAGCTAAAAGACGCGGGTCCAGAGTTGTAGGGGTGTGACTTCCAGACGTCAGGAGGGGTTTGAGGCGTCCGCTGAAGGAACCTGCACCTCATGAACATCAACGATCCTGGCGCGGGTCTTTCTCTGAAAACTTGGCCCCACGATATGCTCCAGCATCTGAAACGACGGCCCCCAAACCAGAAGCCATGGAGTTACTCTGAATCCCTCTCTGCCCAGGGCTGAGAGGAAAACTATCCATCGCTTTCTGAAAGATACTTAACTGAGGTTCCTGTGATCTGTCCAACCCGCTTGGGGAAACAGGGCCCGCGGGGGCCTCTCCATTACACCCTCCACTCAGTGCGAGAGGTGTTCTTTCCAACGCGCGGCTGTAGCTGCCGCCAAACCAGAGACGAGAGGGCATTTGGCCGAGTGGCTAGATTCCCAAACAAGGAAACCACCAGTGTGCCGTAAACCCCGTAAGGTCAGCAAGCGGCTGAAGCCAGAGGCCGTCCGGGGCTCGGGGGAGGAGCGGGCACGTCCGCGACGCGACGCTGGCGCCCGCAGCTCTGCGCTTGACGGCCCTTTTGCGGCGCTCGCCGTAAAGCGAGCACGTGACGCTGCTGCCCGGGAAGGGACGGCGTGGGCGACCCCTCTCGGCCGCGGGGCGTGAGTGAGCGCTGACCTGTCGTCGGTGGCTCGGGTAACCTCCCGTGGACTTTCGCCAACATTCAGGGACCTGTCCACCCTCCCGCGGGCAGGCCGGGATAACGCCGGGTCGCTCCCCCACCTCTCTCGGACGACGTCCGTTCGGCCCATCCTTTCCCCAGCGCTGGGCGTGTCCGCAGGTGAAATCCGCGTTCTGGAACCCGGGCCGCCGTGTGTGCTGACCGAGATCCCCGTGGAAGCCAGGCTGAGGCCGTGCCATTTGAGTAGGGTCTGGAGAGATTTGGCATCTCAGAGTGTCTGTGTCAGAGAGCGCTTCAGGTCGCAGGACTAACGGGAGAAAGATGCCGAAGCGTAACCGTGGCCGCTAGGTGTAGGCAGCGCCGCACGCAGGCGGGGGTAATGGCTCGGAGGAATGGGTGTGTGCAAGGGGAAGGTGTTAACGTGGGGGGACCTTGGAGAACAGCACTGGGGGGATGGGGGAGCTCAAGAAGCCCTACAGGGAGAGAGTGGGCAGGTGGAGTAGCCCTCACACCAACAACAGAAATGGATGAGCCATCAAAAGGCAAACTGCCTTGGTGATGGACAGTGATTTATTTTAGGTGCCAGTGGACTGTCCCAGGAAGTCCAGGGTGGTGCCAGTGGTTGACATGCGCCTTATACAAGGCTGGCTTTTCAAGTCCATCCAGAGGCGCCTCAGAAGAAGACCTGGCTTCTAAAGAATCAGTCATTGGAAACTTACTCAGTTCTACTCACGCACACTTGACTCCTAATCAGTGGTAACTTGTCTTATTTTTCTTCCAGGGAACCACGGAGAGGTTTTGATAATGGAAAGTACCTTGAGTCCTTTGCCAACAAGCATTGAGTAGGTAAGATTATAGGTAAAAAGAAAGTAGACACAGAGACCATGCTTAAGATTAAGGCATTAGGTTCCATTTGAGTCTAAGTTATCGTGTAACCATGAAAAAATGGGAGTTTATGTCAGGGATAATTTAGAGATAAAGTCAATAAGCCTTCAAATCTATTTTTAAAAAGACATTGGGCAGTGTAAGATATGACAAAATAACAATTTATAAATTATCAAGGGCTCATGAGGGAGGGGGGAGTGGGGAGGGAGGGGAAAAATGGGGACCTAATGCCGGGGGTTTAAGTGGAGAGAAAATGTTTTGAGAATGATGTACAAATGCGCTTGACACAATTGATGTGTGTATGGATTGTGATAACAGTTGTATGAGCCCCTAATAAAATGTTTAAAAAAAAAAAAGACATAACCTGGATCATGAGAAACAGCAGATAAAGGCAAATTTAGGAGCACTCTATGAACAATTGACCGATACTCTTCAAAGTTGTCAAGGTCATTAGGTGAATGAGTCAATGTCAACGCTATCATTTCTGGGAATACCAAGGTCACTTGGCATAACACAGCCACAAAGACAACCATCTTCAGTCTACTTTGGTGAGTAGTGACTGGTGTCTGAAAAGCTCAAGGACTACTATCTAAGGTACAACTACGATTCTCTTCTTGTCCAGAGGGAAAAGAAAATGATGAAAATGGAACATACATGGAAATAATTGACTTGACTAATGGACTGTGCAAACATTAGTCTCCATGACCCTGAGACCAGAAGCACTAGATAATGTGCAGCTACCGTTACCAACCCTCTGAAAGAGATCCGAGTAGATAGGTCTTGAATGGAGTGGGAAAAGAATGTGGAGCACACTCAAAAATTCGAAAAGACACTGGGCTTACTGGGGGAATAAAGACGGTGGAACTCC